AATTTATTTTCGTTTTTAATTGTTTTGTTTAAAAGTAGACATTTAAAGCTTTCTGTAGCCTAGTTCTCAGGTCTGATCTTATTTCGGTTCATATATGAGACGCGCTCCGGTTCACGTGCGCTCGTGTCCTGATTATATTGTCTGATATTTACTTCTAATGTATTAATCCAGTCAATTTGTTGATGAGACATTTATTAAAATGAAGATATAATTTATATGAAACGAAATTTACAAGCTTTCTACAAAACAAAACTTTATAAGTGGTCAATATCATGTCTGACCCACTCCAAATATTTTCCGATATTGGGCAGCTTTTGAATTTTGATCCCCTTCATGGGGACATTCTAAAACGTTTAACGTGAAAAACACTTAACGTGGCTTACTGTACTAAGACAGTGATATTAAAAGACCAAATTCAGTACACATCATATTAAAGGTATAGCGGAGGATTTTCTTTTTCCGGGTGAGTAGTCTATACTATTGGTCCACCTAAGTGTCAATCATTCTGGTGATATGTTTACGTAAGGCCGTCGTACGTGCTCATCCCTATGTAGTTTTCACTTTCAGGTGTATAATGTCGGAGTTGCGGTTTCAGCCATTCCTTTGAAAATGGCTGAGGGTCGAAAGAGAAAAAATGTATACGAAGTGTATGATAAGAAGAGTAAGGCCACCGAATATAGAAACAAGACCAGAGAGATTTTGGGTTAATATCACATGCTGGCGTGCGCTAAAAGCACAGGTTGGGCTTTTTGCGAAGATTCTACCAGACAGGTTAAGTTTGTCATGCTATTTGGAGAAATCAATTTAAAATCACTAGTAAAAGTTAATGCAAGCTACTTAGCAATGCTAGCCCTGGCACAAGTCATGCACCGCATAGACACGGTAAACATCTCAATTTGTCTAAAGTAGCCTTTTGACCAAATGATAAATGGTATCACCCTGAAATATTCTAAAACCTTGTGTGTTTATTATTACACAAATGCAACAAGCTACTTCTCCATTACATATGCAACTATGTATAAAAATACAACGTAATAGCACTGCTTGTATGTTGCCATGTAACGTAATTGCGATTTGCAAAATAGTTTCCTCAGAACGTATTTTGTGTGATACAGGGTTGGACATACCATGTCTTGAGTCCTCGGTCACTCAATCGATCAGTATAATAAGTAAATAAAACACGGAAGGGCATTTGACATGTTGTCTTTTTTATGAATGTTTGAGTTAGTTTATAATTTGCAACATAATTGTGTAAGACGTAATAGACGTTCCCTCTCGAGAGCAAGAGTGTTGTATTTGTCCATGTGCATTTTTTTTTTTAAATTGGAGAGGGCGGGTCTTCTCTAAAATTCGGAAAGATCCTCCGCTATACCTTTAATAAACCATACTATGTATAAAAAATAAGATGAGTCCAGGATATCAACGCAACGCGATAAATAACACGTTAAGCATTTTCTTCCCATAGAAACAGTCATGAGAAAACGCTTAACGTGGCTTACTGTACTAAGACAGTGATAAAAGACCAAATTCAGTACACATCATATTAATAAACCATACTATGTATAAAAAAAATAAGCTGAGTCCTGGATATTAAGCGTTTTCTCATAACGGTTTTCTATGGGAAGAAAATGCTTAACGTGTTATTAATCGCGATGCGTTGATATCCTGGACTCATCTTATTTTTTTATACATAGTATGGTTTATTAATATGATGTGTACTGAATTTGGTCTTCACTGTCTTAGTACAGTAAGCCACGTTAAGCGTTTTTCACGTTAAGCGTTTTAGAATGTCCCATCTCAGGCGGTTCCCTTTTCATAGCCTACTCAACATAGATGAAATAATAAAAATAAGTAACGTAATATTATTAAACACATGTGAAACGTAGCCTATGTTTATTTTGTTTTGTTTTTTTTACTTATATTTACAGTAGGCCTAAGCGTCACGCCACTCCGCTTTGCTCACATGCTATGTAGCTTATACATGTGTGTGTGCATGTGCTGGAGGGGTGCCCATCCCTTTTTTGAATATCGTTATCATTATTGATCATTTTTAATGATTCGTTTTTTCATGCATATGTTGAAATTGGTACTATTTGTTTGAGTTTTGACACTTTACTAAAAATGACTTTACTAAAAATGATACAAAAAAATGGATGGATTTATAGCGTTTTGAAAAAAATATAAAAAATATTTTTTTATTTATCATTAACAATATTGTTGTTTGATTTAATAATTATTGTTCAAAATGTTTAGACTGAACCAATAAAACATTTATACAGGATAATTTGAATATTCACAAAATGTGTGGGTCTAGGGAAAAAATGTAGTTTTCCTGAAAACTATTGAAATGGATTTATAGCATTTTGGAAAAGAGATCTTCATATATATATATATATATATATATATATATATATATAGTGTATCATTTCATGCAGTGTTTTATATTTACATTTTCAATTCACATTCACATTTTTATTTTACATGTTTATATAAATTGACTCATAATAAGGATAAACAAGGGATTGTCAAAAGCAGTGCATTTTTTATTTTGTATGGACATTAATGAAAAAGATGGCAACAGTTTGAGGCTGCTGTCCCTTTAAGAATTAATGTGATTCTGTTTACTTTTAATACTCCTCAGTCCACATAATGTCCATTTGGACATGTGTGTGAAACTGTGAAAGAGGACGGTATACGAGATCTGTGTCCGTCAGCGCGAACAGCGCATTGAGTCTTTGTTCGCAGGTTATTGTGATCAACTTCAATAACTTGTAGTACTGTGAAGTTAAAGAAAAATAACACTTTAGACAATGATTTTTTGAAATTTGTGAACCGATTCAAATCGGGAGAAAATAGTATTGCCATTCATATATGAATTGTTTTTTTGTTTTGTTTTCTTTGGTCAGTTTTTTTTGTACCCTACCTAAAAAATGTCAGAGGGTTTGCCACTGTAATGCTGAAGTAGTTGTTGTGCGTCTCCAGCGGAGGTGAAGCGTGTCGGAGATACTCTGCTGGGAATGGCCACTCAGTGCGTGCAGGTGAAAAACGTGGTGAAAACGTCCCCTCAGACTCTGTCCAACCTCTGTCTGAAGATCAACGCCAAACTAGGGGGCATCAACAATGTGCTGGTGCCACATCAGAGGTGGGTTCTGCTATAGCTGTGTTTATTATGCTATAAAGGCTGTTATGTTGTCTATAGTACTTCAATCTAAAAATCACAATAGAAAAACTAAAAGGGGATTTTTAATTGAAAATGAAACTCAAAGATCTGAATCTTTTCAACATGAAGTATTAAAAGTAAATGAGAGTGTGGCCTAAACAATGCTTGCATAAAATGTCAATTTTTAGACAAAAAAACCCATCACCTAGCAACAGGATTGACTATCGTAGGCTTTAAAGACCATATTATGCCTTTGTGGATTTCAGCCTCTACTAGAACAGGTTGAATGTTGATTATTCTCCATTGTTGGGGCTCCTCTCTTCCCAGTCTGTCAGTAACGCTCTGTGTACTTCCTGTCTCCATGAAGCCCCTCCTTCTGAAAGCACACTGTGCTCTGATTGGTCAGCTGGAGCAGTGTGTTGTGATTGGCCGAGCGCTTCGAGTATATTTGGGAAATGTCCCGCTCCTTTCCATAACCGCCAGTTTAACACACTACTATCTAACTCAACCAGGCCCCGCCCCTTTATTCTCCGTATGAATTATTATAATGAGGAATATTGTGCAGTGTTCAATCCCGTTCAGAAACACTGACACTAATATAGAGAAGAACTGGCGCTTTCTCATGCTCAAACCCTAAAGAGAGATCGACGTGACACATAATAGGTGCTCTTTAATGCATCGACAAGAAAGGGAAACTTGACCTGTGTGTGTGTGTGTGTTTCCCCAGGCCCTCGGTGTTCCAGCAGCCGGTGATCTTCCTCGGGGCCGACGTCACGCACCCGCCGGCGGGCGACGGGAAGAAGCCCTCCATCGCCGCAGTGGTGGGCAGCATGGATGGGCACCCGAGCCGGTACTGTGCCACGGTACGGGTGCAGACCTCACGCCAGGACCTGTCCCAGGAGCAGCTCTTCAGCCAGGAGGTCATCCAGGACCTCACCAACATGGTGCGAGAGCTTCTCATTCAGTTCTACAAGTCCACCCGGTTTAAGCCCACGCGCATCATCTACTACCGCGGGGGGGTCTCTGAGGGCCAGATGAAGCAGGTGAGTTTCACGGAGAGACTGTTTAACGCGACTGCTCACCCAAACGCCAATTCTGTCATGTACAGGGAACTACACTAACCTTTTCCACTGGTGGCACTTGCGCTACTAACTTTTTCAGTTACTGGCGCAAAACATGATTTGGTCGCACAAATTATTTATAGTAAGCCGCTCTCTGGATAGTAATGAATAATAATGAAATTGTACTGCATTAGGGGTGGAACGGTACAGAAGTCACGGTTGGGTTCATACCTTGGTTCAGACGGTTCGGTGCGATTTCGGTACATTGGAATGAAAAGCAAAACAAAAATGCAGAAGGCATTTTTATAAATCTCTTAAGCCTCGTATTTTTTAAATTGTTTAAGTTTTATTAATAAAGGCATAGAATCAGTTTATTTGTAGTGCACTGACAATAGTTTTATATAATTAGTTTATTAATTAAATTAATAAAAAGACAAAATGACCTTGATATATGTTTGGTAATTGTACTTGAATGAATGTAAATTTAATTTGCTATATTTCAGATCAATATATTTGTTTTCCTTACTTTTAATTAACCCTAACTTTATTCTCATCTGAATTATAAATAAATGATTTCCGTATAAAATAATTACCATTAAAACACATTTGATTTTCTTTTTTAATCAATGTAGAATCATGGACGCAGGACTGTTGGCAAACTGTAATGACAATAAAATGATAGCTTATAAATATATCTCTGGCTGTTTCTGTTCCACAACATTTTGCAGGCTATGTCATGTTTGGGGTGTGGGATGAAGAGAGGGATATTTTTAGTAATTATTTAATAAAACATCATTTAATTTATCTTCAGTTTGTAGTATTAGCCAATCAGGTGTCTTGACGCGAATCACGCGATTACAATACAGCCTACACAGCACCAAAAAAAAAACTAGTCTAAAAAACTGCTAGTGATCATATAACGTTAGTCGATGTCAATATCAGCGCTAGCAATATAATTAGTTAGCTCATGGCAGAGTTTATCAGCCGAACTTCAGAGCGCAAATCTACCTTTGGTGTACCAAAATCATCGTAAGGCAGAGACACGGTGTCTTGCATCTCTGCGTCTTTTTCCTGCCGCCATGCAGGCCCAGATGGTAGCCTATATGATTGTGATTAGCATGTCTATTATAAAGAGACAAACCTTTTACTATCATGTCCATTGACTTTGAATATGTGCGAAGAGGGAGAGAGAGAGAGAGCAAGACAGCGCTTGTGTTGTGTGAAGACGTGAGACTCTCTCTCTCTCTCTCTCAGCTCGTTTGCGCCCTTTCAAACGCATCAGTTATTTTACTCTACAACACTCGCGGATCAAAAAAGGCTTTGGCGGGACAAAAAGCGGACGACCCGACAGGTTTTAGAAGACTAAATACAACCTGAAAGAAACTAAAAAAAACAGACCCGTCAAAATAGTCAGTGATACATTTGCAACCCATTAAAAATTAAGGTCTCAATGGGATTTCAAAAGGTCGCATATGCGAATATTTTGGTCGCAGTGTAGTTCCCTGATTTACTCATCCTGTGTAGCGTTTGTTGTGTTAATGAAATCTGAGAGATTTCTGTCCCTTTGTTGAAAGTCTGTTCACCCAAAGCTGTGGAAGCACCACACAATAAAAAAACTTTTTATCTCACAATTCTGATTTTATTTCTCAATTATATGATATAAACTCGCAAACTTGCAGTTCTGACTTTCGTTCTCAGAATTCCATGTTATAAAGTTAGAATTGTTGGGTAAAAACAAGCAATTGAGTTGATCACACAATTCTAACTTTATATCATGCCATTCTGACATAACACGCAATTCAGATTTTTCTATCTCGCAATTTTGAGAAGTCTCAATTATCTTTTAAAATGTTTTATTTTGTGGTGGAAACATGCTTTCATACAAACCCCACTTCAAAATGTTCATAAAGAGTTAAATCCGAATGAGCAGAGTGGTTTAATAGAAGCCTTCTGAAGAGATGCAATGACTTTATTATACGATAAACAGATTTAGTTTTAGGTTTTTATTCACATTGTTCAATGAACTTAAAGCGATGCTCAACCATACTTTATGCGAAGAACAATCCTTCTGTTTACTATATTTGAATGCTGTAATAATTGCTCCCGTTTCATTAAAATTACTTCATTTGGGTTCTGAAGATGATCGAAAGTTTTATAGATTCACACAAGTGCGAGGAAACGACAGAATTTTCTTATTTGGGTCATCTAACTCTTTAATTCAAACTCCAACTGCAGTGATGATACTTGAAAGCTGGTTTTATTGGAATGTAATTTATTCGTCATTTCGTGTTCAGTTTTTCTTCTTGGGTTGATCTTGTGACTGGTTTTGTGCAGGTTGCCTGGCCAGAGCTGATCGCCATCAGGAAAGCGTGCATCAGTCTAGAAGAGGATTACAGACCAGGAATCACATACATCGTAGTGCAGAAACGCCACCACACTCGACTCTTCTGCTCTGATAAAGCCGAGAGAGTGAGTTTTTCAGATGGTGTTTACTTCATATACTCTGTTTGTGATTGGCACTGTTAAAGGAGGAGGAACACACTCCAAATTAAGGAACACACTCCAGAATGTTTCTCCATATAGTGACTTCAATGGGGTCGAACGGTCCAGATGTGAGTTTCAGTGCAGCTTCAAAGTCTCGACACGATCCAGCCAAGGAATAAGAGTCTGATCTAGACTAACCAGCCGACATTTATAACAAAATAAACATTTATATACTTTATAACCACAAATGCTGGTCTTGCACAAGCTGTGATGCGACACATTAAGTAATCAGGTTGAAAGGTCAAGCGTGACGTAGGTGTAAAGCCTGGAACACACCAAGCCGACGGTCGGCCGTCTGGCAGATTTTGTGCGTCGGCCAACTAAGTTTCCTCGGTGTGATACGCACGGTTCCGTGCTGTTGGCTGAAAATAGTCCTCGTCGGCTTTTTTTGCCTGATTCGACATGTTGAATCGGCGTCGGGCCGTTGAGGAAAGAGAGAACTCTGATTGGCTGTTTAGCTTAGTGAAAGAGACATGAGAATAAAAGCAAAACAGCAAGCAAAGAAGTCAAAACAGTAAAGATAGAAGGCTGTTCGTATGTTACGTCATCTTACCTGAGTGTTCCTTGGCGAATATTTCAATAATAACTTGAGCGGAGTGGAATAAAGAAAGTGTTTAGCAGGATTGATATTCAGAACGGTAAGCGCGCGCTGCTTTGTTTACGTTATGTGTATCTGCAGCCAGCAGCATCGGTTTTCCTTTTTGAATGACGAATATAGACTAATATATCTGCAGAAATAGACATTTGGCTCATTAGACGCAGGCGAAGACCGCACATTCTAGCTGACGGTTGTCTGCAGTTCTCTCGGTGTGTTCAAGTGCAGCTTTTTACCTCGACGAGAGCGGACGAAAGGCGACAAAACAGTCGGCTTTCATCAGCGCTAGTTCGTTGCCGTCGGCTTGGTGTGTTCCGGGCTTAAGAACAGACCCAGTGTTTACAAAGCAAACGTGCGAAGACTGAGTCAAAGCCATTTACAAAACAAATAAATAAAATGTAAAAAAAAATGATGTCGGATGTTTTTGAAGTTGGAGAAGAAAATACGAGTTTTTCTCCCTATCCTACATTTCTGACATTACCTTTCAACTTGACTACGTAATGTATCACAGCTCGTGCAAGACCAGCATTAGTGGTTAAAAGTATAAATGTTTATTTTGTTATAAATGTCTACTGGTTTGTCTAGATCAGACTCTTATTCCTCGGCAGGATCGTGTCGAGACTTTCAAGCTGCACTGAAACTCACATCTGGACCTTCGACCCGTTGCAGAAACATCCTGGAGTGGTGTTCCTTAATGTCTTTTCGAATGAAGAAAGAAAGACAGGAACATCTTGGATGACGTGGAGGAGAGTAAATTATCAGGAAACTTAAATTCTAAAGTGAATTCATTCTTTTAGTGTGCACTACCATTCAAAAACAATTCAGGACTGATAAATGTCTCTGCATTCACTTCCAAATCGTGCATTCAAGTTTCTTTGCGTTGACTCAGGTGGGGAAGAGTGGAAATGTCCCAGCAGGCACTACAGTGGACAGCACCATCACACACCCCTCAGAGTTCGACTTCTACCTGTGCAGTCATGCTGGAATCCAGGTGAGCCGCAGCCCGAATTATCCAGTACAAGGTGCATAAAATACTTGAATTTGAAGGCCTGGAAAACCCTTAAAATCAGGGGGGTCGGTATATTTCCCTGCTTTTTTGTCCTTAGCCAATCACATGCCTGATATATTAAATAAGTGTTATATATATATATATGAGCCGAATGAACATGCAAATTCATTCCCTAACATTATATGGCGCCAATTTGCTCTGCAATACCACTCAATATCAGTTTTCTTTTATCAAGATGTTTGTAGTCCCTATCGCATTTGTCATAGTTCTTTGTTCTAGCACCAATGAGAACAGCAGCTCTACATTCATCTTGCATCTTCCTCGTCTTATTTCTTCCTGGCAGTGTAGACGGCGACGCTACTTGGCGTACATTTTCTTTGCCGTTGCATATGTGTGCTCGGCAAGACCGTTTTGTTTGAGCTCCTTCAAGTTGTGTTTTACTGTAACTTCAGAAGCTCCAAACATGTGAGCAAAAGCGCCAATCTCATTGGTCGGATAGTTTTTGACTGCGTGTCAAACTAAAAAACCGAACCCAAGGCGTTTTTTTTTTTTTAATGACACTTTTACGCGTCGGTGTGCACACTCACATTGGCGCCCTTTGTTAAGTCACGAGGCGTTAAACGTCGGTGAATAACGCACGTGAAAATCGTCCCGGTGTGAACAGGCCTTTACCCTCTTATTTACTTATTTATTTGTACCATTTTGTTTTATTAATTAAAAGCCTGAAGCCTATATTTTTATCTATAATATGTATATGTATATATATATATATATATATATAATATTATTTTTATTTTTAATTTGAAAGATAAAGAAATTGTTTGATTTATACAATTTATACATTAATAATAACACTTATTAATTTGCACTCTTCTATTCTGTATTTATAAAAAAAAAAGTACATGTACTGCGTTAGACTAAACTGGGAAGGGTCACGGCACTTGCATATCATTGTCCTACTGTTAGTTTCACTGCTTTTATTGTTCTCATCTGTAAGTCGCTCTGGATAAAAGCGTCTGCTAAATGAATAAATGTAAATGTTTGATAAGTGAGATATTTGATTGTAGTCCTGGAAAACCCTAAAAAGTAGCGCTTAAAGTCCTGGAATTTCATTGTACAGAATCTGTACGAACCCTGACCATCCAATTCACCTTTGGCTAAGCCACGCCCTAGAATGTAGATTGACCAATCACAGCGCAGCCAAGAACGAGCTCCCACACAGACTCCGACACTTTTTCACAGCGCTCTATTGACTTTCAACACAGGCGTCTCATATTTTTGGTCTCGGCAGGCTATTACCGTCCAAGTTTTATCCAAAATATGGTTAAACGTTGTGCCTCGGCCATTTGCAACACCGATACGCCTACTTCTATCGGACACTTTATTTGCTGCTTTATAAAAGTTTGTTAACATTTCAGCAGGAAGAGCTGTTACAGCATAAGCCATGCAGAGCGCAGATGAAGTTTGACGGATGTAGCAACAGTAACTAAGGGGGGCGGGGCTTAGCCAAAGGTGAATTGTCCATTCATGGCATTTCCTGCATTTGCGTTTCCTCCCATAGGGCACGAGCCGCCCGTCTCACTATCACGTCTTGTGGGATGACAACTGTTTCACCGCCGACGAACTGCAGCTGTTGACGTACCAGCTCTGCCACACATATGTGCGCTGCACGCGCTCCGTCTCCATCCCCGCTCCAGCTTACTACGCCCGGCTCGTGGCCTTCAGGGCCCGCTACCACCTCGTGGACAAAGATCACGACAGGTACATCAGCACCGAGGAGGAGGAGCTTGTGAAGCTAAAGGGAAAAGGCAAATTAGCCCATGATTTACTCTCCCTCAAACCATCCTAGGTGTATATTACACTCTTCTTTCAGACGAATACAATCAGTTATATTAATAAACATCCTGACACTTCTGTGCTTTATAAAAAAAAGTGCATCCATCATCATAAAAGTGCATCTATCCATCACTTTTACAACTGTCGGATGCACTTTTATGATGGACAGATGCACTTATGATTGGTAGATACACTTTTATGATAGATGCACTTTTATGATGATAGATGCACTTCTATGATGGACAGATGCACTTTTATGATGGACAGATGCACTTATGATGGATAGATGCACTTTTATCTTGGATAGATGCACTTTTAGGTTGGATGGATACACTTTATGATGGGCAGATGCACTTTATGATGGATAGATGCAGTTTTTAGAGCTTTACACTGATGGTTGCAAGCGTCAGGGTGTTTATTAATATAACTGTTATTCATCTGAAAGACATTCATATACACCTAGGATGGCTTCAGGGTGAGTAAATCATGGGCCAATTTTCATTGTAAAGTAAACTACTCCTGTAAAGAGGACCTACGAAGTCTTGATTTTGTTTTTGGGCTCTACTAGAATAGGTTTTCATGCACAAATGTTCAAAAAAGCTATATTTTTTTCCATATTTGACATAGTTGCAGCACCTCTCCTCCCAGTCTGTCAGTAACACTCTGGTGAGTTAACGCACTGCTTAACCGCCCAGTGTGATGCATCGTTGTAGAAACTAACTAGCTAGACTGTTTCCCCCTGTCATTTGAACCACGTTAGTTAAACAGTGTAGAACTCATTAATGACATCACATGCAGGTGTTAATTAATATTTGAATGGGATGAAAGAAAAAGAATGTGCTGAATGTTAGCTTGCTTATATTGTGTCCACATGTTATTATAACAAGAAACTGCTGCTAACCACAGCTTGCAAGTTTGCGACGCTGTTTAGTTTCGGGAAACGCCAAATCACTGAACTATGTTGATAACGACGGAACTTGTGACCATAGTTAGTCGATGCTTTTGTGAAATGCACCCCTATTTACTTCCTGTCTCTATGAAGCCCTTCTTTCTGGAAAGCACACTGTGCACTGATTGGTCACCTGGTTCAGCGTGTTGTGATTGGTCGAGTGCTTCGAGTATGTTTGGGAAATGTTCAGCCCCTTTCCATAACCGCCAGTTTAACACACTACTAACTAACTCAACCAGGCCCCGCCCCTTTATTCTGCATATGAATTATTATAATGAGGAATATTGTGACGTGTTTTTACTAATTTTGTAGTGTAAGAAAAACACAAATGGTTTTCCATGCAATAAAAGTGAATGGGGATTAAAGGAGCTTAAATGTCATAAAAGTACAAGAAAATAGTTCATATTTAAATTTTCGTCTGTTTCTAATTTTGAATAATAATTATCAGAAAAACCTGTCTGTCCCTCTCCTACTATTACTTTTATTTATGTTTTATTATTTTGAATTCACTTTTTTCATGTTGATTTTTAGTGCTTTTGTCTCCTATTTTCTAAATATTGCTATTTATGTTTAATTTATTTTTACTCCAGGTTTAGTTTTATATAGTTTTAGGTCTTTTGTTAGTTTTAAGGTGTTTGTCAGGCTCTTCTCATTTAGAACCGTGCAGTAGGGGTTCCCATCATGGGATGATTTTATAGATGCATATTTAATTTCGTTTAAAAAAATATTATATTATTTGAAACCGTTCCAGGGAGTTCAAAAACCGTGACACTCGCTACGCTTACGTGCAACCAAATCCGCTACTAATGGGATTGATGGCTCAGTTTTTTTTTTTTAACGTGTGAGAAATTCGGACTCTGTGTGCAAGCACCTTTACTCCCGCTGGAGCGACTCTGGAAACCCTTTCATGCTCAAACTTCAACATTAAACACACTAAATGATGAACATGGGGGAAAATCCTCATAGATCCTCTAATCGCTTCGTCCCTCTCTCTCTGCAGCGCTGAAGGTAGTCACGTGTCCGGACAGAGCAACGGCCGAGACCCTCAGGCCCTGGCCAAGGCGGTCCAGATCCACTATGACACCCAGCACACCATGTACTTCGCCTGACGCCGGCCAGCAGGAGGCGCTCTTCTACTTCTACACTCCCTCCTCTCTCTCTCTCCCTCTCTCTCTCTCTCCCTCTTCCTCTCCCTGTTTCTCTATCGCGGTGTCGTCTGCAGCCAAGCAGTTCTGAAACTCATCCCTCAATCCAGGCGAAATATAGAAATATACCGGCCTCGGAAGAACCAACCTCTACCAGCAGTCCTGCACTGAGAGGCTCCTGGCCTCCAATGCACAGAGAAAAAAATCAATTTGAGCCATTTTTAACGTTTCCTTTTCTTGTTTTTGATTTTGAATGTTTTTAATTTGTAAAATACACTGAGTGTGAGCAAACCTGCGCCATTGGTCAGGGCAGCTCTGGCTCTCTTTGCTAAGCTGGACTCTGTCTACTCTTACCTCAAGCCACCATTGGCTGAATCTTGTCACATGACTATTAGAGGGCGGGGCTTGCATGTTTGGGGGGGGGGGGGGTACTTGTTTTGTCTCCTTTTTATGGTCGTATTTGGACTCTCCTCAGTCTTTTACAAACGAGGTGACCTGGGTATACATACCCATTACCCGCTACCGTTTTGCGTGTGTGTGTGTGAATGAGTGAGTGAGTGAGTGAGTGAGTTCACGTCTCATGGCAGGCCACTGAATTGTAAAGGGAAATCTAGGAGCAAACTGCTGTAAATGCCTCGTTTTTTTATATTAACACACACAAAGATATATAAAAAATATATAAATATTTACAACTCTATAAGCATATTCCACTTGATCTAACAGACTTTCATAAGCTGATGGTTTTGTGTAGCAGTAGCATTACCCGTGGGCACGCCGGGCTCGGTTCTGAGACGGTTCGGATGGTTATTGTTTGACAGGGTTGAAAGGTATGGCCATTGCACAGTCACAGACTAGGCTTGCAACATACAGCACTCTCCCTTCTTTTATGCATTTATACATAAGATTCAAATCAGATTTGTAAGAGTTTAATATAAATGTTTTTTTGTGGTAAACTTTAACAGTTTGTTAGAGTAGATAACTGTCGTTCTTGTCGTTTTAATGTTGATATTGATCAGTTGTCTGAAAATCGGTCGCGTATCTAATTAGGAGGCATTGTGTTTTTTTTTATAAAGCTTGAGTTGTTGTGGCGACGGTAATGAGGGCCCAAATCGCTTTGGTTTGTCCTTTTTCATGTTCGAATTTATCAGTTTGAGTTTTAACTCCAAGTTAATGGCAAGAAAGTGACAAATCTGAACTTTTTAGGCAATGTTCAGCAGTTGTATGAATTTTACACTTTAAGTGTGTTTATTACTTATCTCTCTCTCTGTGTGTGTGTGTGTGTGTATGAATTTGAATCGATGATATGAATCGGAATGAACTTTCTCTTGCATATTAAAGATAGGACACCGTGCATGAAGACACAGGAGCCTTTGGTTTGAGGGTTTCCAACGCGCACGCCTCGTCAGGGAGGATGCTCTCCAAAAAACCTTTTGTAATAAACCATCCGTAAAGCAGCAGGTTTGCTATGAATGAGTTTGAGCGCCCGCCTGTCGTTGGCGTGAACGCTGGCCCCGTGGAAGGAGGAGGCGAGGGCATCACATGCAATAAATTGGATTTAGGCATCGATAGGTTACTCAAAAGTCATGGCTTCCAGAGATTAGCGCGTTTGAACAGTGTACGTCCGTGTCCTTTTTTAGGCGGTTCGCTAAATTGTTACATGACCGTTTCTATCATGATATCATTGCAAAGCAATATAACCCAAAATCCAGAACAATTTAAAAGCTGTAGTCGTCGTTGGAATCTTATTGCCGTTCGTTTATGTACTTATTTTGCTTGTATCAATCAGTGGGAATGTGCATATGGTGGACTAGCTCTTTTAGGCTATGTGGACAAATGTTCAAATTTAAACTGTGCTCGCCTGCATGCCAGAGTATTGTTATGGAATATTTATTATGGCGCGGAAATTTTGTTTTTTATCTTATTTTATTTTTTATGCGTAAATCAAATACAGTGAGACTGTTTCGAGTAGCGGTGTTGTCCGGGATTTTTAAAGTTTTCTCTGTAAATGTCAGTAACTCTGAGGGACAGATGTGGGGGCTGAAAGGGGGAGGATCTCGTCTTTGCGCGCCCGAACCCAAACGAGGTACTTTCTTCAATCACCGGGCCACTAAGACGGACCTCCTCGCCCTTTCGTTCCGGTTCCCTCTTTGCTCTGTGGCGCCGCCCTGGTGGCTCCTCCACACTTCTCTCTGCGAAAGAATTACCTCTTAACCTCTTGTTTTGTTTTTAAGCCATTCTCTGCCCCACTTTAAAGAGCATGATTTTTTTTTAAAATTCCTATTTGATATATATATGGCTTTGTTATTTGAAAAACGTGTATTGTAATTTAATTTTTTGTTTCTATTACTGGTGTGTAGCTTTTTTTGTGCGGTTGTATTCTCATGTTCTGAGCTGTGTGATTTGTCCGATAGCAATAGCGGGCACCGTTTCTTTGCCCTGCTGGGAACGCCTGTAGCTTCCCCCACTCGAGTGACCCGCCAGTTGCTGTATTGCTTTGTGACATTAAAAAAAAATCTCCCTCTTTTTTTTTTTTTTTTTTAGCCTGCAGGGAATATTTGTGTTATTGTGCAAAGTAATAAATTGGTATTTTATGCCTATAACACACACCTATGTGTCCTGTCATTATTGAAGTTAGCTTGCCTACTTTTTTGTGTGTGTCAGTATGTATAGTACCGGTGATTTATCATAACTTTGTTTTTAAATGTTGATTTTATTTATTTTATTTTTTAAGGGACTTTTTCCAAAAATAGATTGAATTCCAAGCCACAAGATGGCATTGCTTGCTAATATCTAGAACTTAATTATGAAGCCCTATCCAGAGTAAATGGTTCTCTTTGTTGAATGTTTAAGTACAAATGATTTTCCCAATAGACCAACATTTTAAATTCAGCAATGCTTTATTTTAGTGTCCTTGTTACATATGCTACATGTACTTTAGTAATTATAGTAAACTTGTTTCAGTTGTTACATGTAGTAATTACAGTAAATTTTGTTGCATGTACTTTAGTAATACCAAACTTGTTACATGTACTTTAGTAATACCCAACTTGTTGCATGTAATTTAGTAATTACAGTAAACTTGTTACATTTGTTACATGTACTTTAGTAATTACAGTAAATTTGTTATGTGTAACAAGTTTGTTATTACTAAAGTAGATGTAACAGGTGTAACAAGTTTATTGTAATTACTAAAGTACATGTTACAAGTCTACTGTAATTACTAAAGTACATGTAACAAGTTTACTGTAATTACTAAAGTACATGTAACAATTGTAACAAGTTTACTGTTGTTACTAAAATATGTACATGTAACAAGTTTACTGTAATTACTAAAGTACATGTACTTTAGTTACAACAGTGAACTTTTCACACCTGTTACATATACGTTAGTAATTACAGTAAACTTGTTGCATGTATTTTTGTAATAACAGTAAATCTTTATTAAAAATTTAACAAAAAAACCTATAGAGAGTACATTTTGCGTACTATTACTCAAATGTATAATTACACTTATCAAGGACAGCTTAAAATAATGTGGAACCTTACATTCTGAAAATCTTGCTATGAAATGAGGATTTTAGCTTTTGCTGTTTTTTTTTTCTGTCATTGGAGAGTTGCATTCTGTTAGTGGAGACCGATACCAGAGACTATTTATATTGAGAATGAGGAGTTGACGTCATTTTACAGAGCCCCTCCCCTTTCCGCCATGTTGGTAGGATTCCCACGACAAAACAGTATTGATTACGTGTGTTTTTAGCTCGGTAGTAGAGGAGTTTCTTGCAATACCACACTGTTTTACCATGCCTGGAAGTAACTGCTGCGTTAAAAACCGATAAAAACCCTGGTAACCGATAGCGTCACCTACCATCATGGCCGACCGGCTCAGACCCCGCCCAAATAGGCACGTGACTCCTCATTCTCAATAGAGACATGCCACTTCCTCAATCCTTAATACAAATGTATAGAGCTGGTAAGTCCCGCCCCTTCCGCTAACCCCGCTGAATCGTCAATGCAAGTGAATGAGAAAAAATAATTATTTTGTAATTGTTTTTAAATTGTATTGAATTTTTCCTTCCTGCACCGGCTGTGGGCGGGACTGTGATGCTATAGATACAGTCGGTTGGTCTGGGAACGCCCCCGGGAACGCCCCGTCACGTGGTGTGAATTTAGCCCGTGGGGGAAAACATTGCCTTGGCGCTCATTGAAATACATGGGACAATCATACCGAAAAGTTGCTGTGTCGTTTTCTGTACCACCAATAAACTAACAAATTATAAATTGAAGTTCTACAGCCTTACTTACATACATACAGAACCGGATAGGAGGACAAAATGGCTAAATTAATCCTATCTTATTAGATTACTGTGTGAGTAGAGGTCCCTGTGTGATAGTAGTAGATGTTTAACTCGTATTAGGCAGTGGGCCAGATTTGTCTGACGTTACATACCTTACGAAAAAGAACTATAGTAATCCTATGGCTATTAGTATTCTATAGTAGTGTATAATACTTCTGTGATGTTCTTAATACCTCTATACTTCTAGGCTATGTCCCAAAATACTATAGTATTCATATAGGAATATTAACGTTACTATAATATTTTGTCCTAAAATACATCAAGATTCCTTTAGTTGTTTTTTATAAGGGGTATGTCTCTCAGTCACATTAGCCTTATCAGCTGAAGGTTATCAGACTGCAGTCTGTGAGAATTCGGATAACTGTCAGCAAAGTCCCTCTGCAATTTCGTAGCTAAAACTGATCACCGTTTTACAAAAGGATTAATAGTTTGGAGTGAAGCATACGTACAATTGGTAAGTGACATGATTTTATGGACTTTTACACTTAACTTATACGCAAGTTGATTGAGTAATAGGCTTGTGTTGCCGTTAGCTTCCGCGATGTCTTTACCTGAAGATTCAACCAGATATAATAGTCTGGAAACGACACCTCCGGCCATTTGGTTGGGTCATTGACCCAGTTTTTAATTAAATAAGGGCAATCATAACCTATTACAGTTAATTTTGCAATGTTCCGTTGCCGGTCGGCTGGCATAAATGACTCGCAATATGACATTTTTGTCATTCAAATACATAGGATGGTCGCGCTGCTTTCCCCCACGCCGACCACGCCCCCCAACTATGACGCGTTGCCGACTGTATCTATAACATACAGTCGGCAACGTGTCATAGTTGGGGGGCGTGGTCGGCGTGGGGGAAAGCAGGAGCAGCGCGACCATCTATGTATTTGAATGACAAAAATGTCATATTGCGAGTCATTTATGCCTGCCGACCAGCAACGGTACATTGCAAAATGAACTGTAATAGGTTATGATTGCCCTTATTTAATTAAAAACTGGGTCAATGACCCAACCAAATGGCCGGAGGTGTCGTTTCCAGACTATTGTTATCTGGTTGAATCTTCAGGTAAGACATCGCGGAAGCTACCGGCAACACAAGCCTATTACTCAAACAACTTAAGTTACTATAAGTCCATATGTCACTTACCAATTGCACGTATGCTTCACTCCAAACTATTAGCCTAATCCTTTTGTAAAACGGTGATCAGTTAGTAGCTACGAAGTTGCAGAGGGACTTTGCTGAACCTTCAGCTGATAACGCTAATGTGACTGAGACATCCCTTATGAAAAACAACTAAAAGAATCTTGTAGTATTTTAGGACAAAATATTATAGTAACGTTAATCCTATAGGAATACTATAGTATTTTGGGACATAGCCTAGAAGTATAGGTATTAAAGAACATCACAGAAGTATTATACACTAATAGCCATAGGATTATTATAGTTCTTTTTCGTAAGGGATGTAACGTCAGACAAATCTGGGCCACTGCCTAACATGAGTTAAACATCTACTACTATATCACACAGGGATCTCTACTCACACAGTAATCTAATAAGATATGATTAATTTTGCCATTTTGTCCTCCTATCCGGTTCTGTATGTATGTAAGAAAGGCTGTAGAACTTTAATTTATAATTTGTTAGTTTATTGGTGGTACAGAAAACGACACAGCAACTCTTCGGCATGATTGTCTCATGTATTTCAATGAGCGCCAAGGCAATGTTTTCCCCCACGGGCTAAATTCACACCACGTGACGGGGCGTTCCCGGGGGCGTTCCCAGACCAACCGACTGTATCGATACAAAACCCTGTAACACCAAAGATGGCAGTTGTATGCAAATGCCCCGCCCCTCCCGCTGGACAGCCAATCGTCTGCTTTTAACCGTCAAGCTGGGAAACATTTAAATACGTTGCTGTTTGAAAAGGCGGCAGATTTGATATGCAGTGCATGTGTGCGTTCACGTTGTGTAAATATCAGACATCCCAAGTCTCCCAGAAGTTCCCAATAACATCCTGCAGATTAATAGAGGCTCGCTGATGCCTGCAAACTAGTGATGTGTCGTTCATGAACGATTCGTTCATTTTGAACGAATCTTTAATATGACTCGGGACTATCGAGTTGTCTCAGGGAGTGATTCGTTCATCTTGTGTTACCCGCGCATGCGCATTGCGCAACATATGGATTCTGAATCTGTACTGGAAACAGAAATGATTAGTTCATCTCTCGAGTCTCGAGTCCGAGTCTTTCGTTCTTCCTGTCAGTCCCATTGAGCCTATGCTGTCAGACCACCGGAAAGAGGAATGATTTTCATTTGAGTCTTCGGGTTTGAGTCCTTCGTTCTTTAGTCACGTGAATTGTCACCGTATTGAATACCCAAATTCACAAACTTTTTACAAACTAATTCACAAACCTTTTACAAACAAGCACGTAGATGATGTATAATATAATAGTAGTTAATTAATGTACAATATATAATAAAACACACCACAGATGCATAATATAGAAAAGAGACGGACAGGGACAATAATAAGGAATAAGGAATAATGGACGTTAATGTTTATTGAACATTTGTATTTTAATGCCTATATAACACAATATTCAGACGCAGTCAATAATACGAATCTAATGTTGTATTTGATGCGAGACCCGTGGCCACGTGAGAAAAGAACGACGGACTCAAACCCGAAGACTCAAATGAACTAATCATTCCCCTTTCCGGTACTGAAAGCATAGACTTAATGGGACTGACGGGAAGAACGAAAGACTCGGACCCGCCGAACCCGAGAGATGAACTAATCATTTCTCTTTCCGGTGCTGACAGCATAGACTCTATGGGACTGACAGGAAGAACGAAAGACTCGGACCCGGCCGAACCCGAACTCGAGAGATGAACTAATCTTTAATCTTTCCGGTCCTGCTATATCGCATGGCACGGCCAGCAGACAGCACAGATCAGAGTCAGACACTGACGAGTCAACAGCTAACGTCTCGAGACATGAGAGGAGGAGAACAAACCTGATAAATATGAAGTTGCAAAGCAAAGAACGTCTCGGATCAGGAGGTGAGGTGAACTATAACAGGGTCAGACTGAATAGCCTGAACTTTAGGCCCAGCAACTAATTAATAGCTAACGTTACAGTTATTTTAGTTGCTTTTGGCTTTGGCTGCATTACCCTATTATGTTATTTTTACAAATGTAATTAAGATTTTCGTAAGTACTAGATGTATGGGATATTTAACATGACATTTTAATTATATAATTATGAAATGACCGAAATGAACGAAATGACTCGATAAAAGATTCGTTCATTTTACTGAACGAGACTCAAAGATCCGAATCAGTAAAATGATCCGAACTTCCCATCACTACTGCAAACTAGTTAAAATCTCCCGGAATCTAGAGCGAGCGAGCAAGCAAGAGCGCGCACATACTGTGTTTCAAACTGTGCAGCGCGCGCGTGTGACAGAGAGCGAGAGAACCCTTGCGCATGCGCAGTAAAAGTATAACCTTTGGGAAAACGGCTTTTTAAACCTTATTTGGGGGCAAAGTCATCAAACTTTTTCAGCAATTTTTATTATATTTTACTGCTGTTTCTATACATGCAGTTTTTATGTCCCGGTGTCCAGTGAAAGTGCAGTTCTGACTCTCTGCCCATTCATTTAGATAGAGCCTTGTTAAGTCCGAAATATCTGCCCGGAGGTGTTGCCAAGATGGCGGCCGAGTGGCATGACTTGCCTGAAAGGACTTTGCCGATACTCACATCAGCTGTTGATATTCCTGTGCTCACACACACCACAGCTTCTGTGGGCCACCACCCTCTCTCGTATGTCTTTGTTTTGTGTCCCCTCTCTCGTTCCTCTGTCCTGTGCTGTTGTCATGACCACTGTTGCCAAGGAGAGCCAGAGAAAGGAAACTTAAACCAGGGATCTTGTACCCATAATATTTAATTCATCACCACAGACGCTGATGTCTGCAGGACAAAACAAGGACGAAATGACACAATTTAAAACCATTTATTTGTCTCTTTAGCAAATAAAATTTAAACATGCAAGTTATCCCCCCAAAAAATACAAACGCTATAACCTGCTGGGATTTGGTTGATTTGCACCTTTGTAAAAATATTCATGGAACATGGAAATTCACACTCAGCCTGAAATGCAATTCTTATTTGTGTGAAATATATCCATCTCAGCAACAACAACAACAAAATTGACGTGCATACTGTTGCAAAGTGTATTTTGCTGTCAGAAATGGTCAAAAATGTTTCTTTCTGTCTCATAAATGAAAGCTAGCCCTCAATTGCAACGGCACTTCAAAAGGCTTGAGCATATTGTTGATGGCCCATAGATTGTCTTTGTGTTAATTGATTCGCTCGCCCTCCCTCCCACCTCTTTGCTCCATCTGCCTTTATATCCCTCCATCCACTGCTTTCCTTTCAGATAGAGTGTGGCTTGGCTCAGCAGTGTTTCCAAACGGCACACTTGAGTCACCTGTAAGGGTTCCCGGGCCGCCCAATCGGCGATCGCCACTCCGAACGCAACCGACCAACCTGTGAAGGTTTTGTTGCTGGGAGGAATCGCTTTTGTCTTTGCACAAGTGGCCTGAAGCACAGAACCCTTTTGTTTCTGCTCTCAAAAAGAGCAGTAAATTCAATTTAAAGATCTTGAACAAGGAGAACGTCTTCTCCTCAACGGCTTCTATCCTTTCAGGTGTAATAGACTTTTCAAACGAAACTGTTGGATAATTTACAGAGGACTTTGCCATCGTTCAGACTGTTTGACGTTTGTTGGGTCCTTGGAAGTAATGCATCTTTGACAGCCAGGTCACGGTATCAAATTCAATCGGCTTGACCCGTTTTGGAAAGGCAACACCGGACTGGGTGGCAACAGAGACGCATGTCCCTGCGATAACAGTGGATCTTTCTTTACTGAGAGGACTTTACATTGGTGCCAGACCGACTTCTACCCATCCGGATGGGACTCTCATTGAAGTTTGATCAATCCCATGTATGCAAGTTGAGACAAGTGCTCTGAGTTCTTCAATTATTCATCACCTCAAAAAAAGACCAGGCGAACGTGAACTAGTCTGAGAGAACAAAAGACTAGATCGAAACTTTTCTCTGATAAAATTGAAAGACAAAACTGGCAAGGAACTTTCAGGAAGGGCTGACCGAGACGGATTAGCAAACGTGGCCGGCTAGATGTGGTTGAACAAAATATTGCTCTGAGAAATTGGGAAGACAAAACCAAGAGGTAATTGCTGAGGATTGGCAAACGTGACCAAAGACGGGATTAAAACTTAAGTTATTTGAGACGACACTGGCAAGGAACTTTCAAGGAGGACTGAGTGACGCTTCTGGCTGAGGATTGACCAACCTGACCCAAAGACGAGCTAAAACAAATTTTGCATTGAGAAATTTGAGACAAATGTGGCGCGGAACCTTCTATGATTGGCAAACCTGACCCAAAGACGAACAAAAACTAATTTTGCATTGAGAAATTTGAGCCAGATCTGGTGAGGAACATTGTAGGATTGGCAAACGTGACCTAAAGACGAAATAAAACAAATTTTGCATTGAGAAATTTGAGACACATCTGGGGAGGAACCATCTAGGATTGGCAAACGTGCCCCAAAAACTAACTAAAAAAAAATTTTGCATTGAGAAATTTGAGACGTCTGGTGAGGAACCATCTAGGATTGGCAAATGTGACCCAAAGACGAACTAAAACAAATTTTGCATTGAGAAATTCGAGCCAGATCTGGTGAGGAACCTTCTAGGATTGGCAAACGTGACACAAAGACGAACAAAAACAAATTTTTGCATAGAGAAATTTGAGAGATTTTTTTGAGGACTGAGAGCCGCTTCTTGCTGAGGGTTGGCGATCGTGCCGACCTCTGTGGCCGAGTAGGGCTGAGGCAATTATCCATAGTCGTAGCACCTAAGCGTAAAGGTGTCGTCGAGGCTGTGGCCCGAGGAGGCGTGGTACTCAGAGGGTGGCGAGATGGTGAACACAGGGATGCAGCTGATCAGCTTCACCTGTGCTGTGACCGGATGGGTGATGGCCATCGCCGTGACGGCGCTCCCCCAGTGGAAGGTCACGGCCTTCATCGGCAGCAACATCTTGACGTCGGAGATCGTTTGGCAGGGGATCTGGATGAACTGCATCTACCAGACCACCGGCCACATGCAGTGCAAGACCTACGACTCCATGCTGGCTCTCCCTCCCGATATCCAGGCGGCCCGAGCGCTCATGTGCATCGCTATCTTCCTGGGATGGTTGTCCTGCACCGTGTCTTGCTGTGGAATGAAGTGCACCACTTGCGCCGGGGATGATCGCCATGCTAAGGCGGGTATAGCGCTGTCCGGCGGGGTGCTCTTCATCCTGACGGGCCTGTGCGTTCTCGTACCGGTTTCTTGGACTGCAAACACTGTGGTGCAAGACTTCTACAACCCGAATGTTCCCCTCCAGCACAAGCGAGAGCTGGGTCAGGCCATTTACCTGGGATGGGCGTCTGCGGTGATTCTCATGATTAGCGGGGCGGTTCTCAGCAGCACTTGTCCACACATGGAGAGAGGAGGGTATAGACGCGGGTACATGGGTCGTAGCTTTGCGAACTCCAGGCCTTCCGCTCCTGATCTTCCCAAAACTATCACCACCAGCACCCTTCCTCTCAAGGAGTACGTATGATGGAGAGGAATTAAGGCTCAACAGGGACAATAATTAAAGATGCACTCAGTACTTTTTTTGATTTTGATTCAATGGATGGATGCATTTTGTGGCAATTGAAGTCCAATCCTTTATCTACTCTGTTTCATCGCTCCTTGTGTTTGGCAAATCGGACACATAATGCTGTTGACTTTTTTTTGTTATGTGTTTGAAAAACTCCAGTGTTTGAAAATAATTATTGCAATTCTGTTTGGTGACACAATCTGTGTCATTTCTGCACCACTAGCAAAAATGAAATTGAATAAATTAATAATGATTGCCAATTACCATTGTAAAATAGATTGGCTTGCCCCAATAGCTCGTTTTTTAACTGAATTGTGAGACACAGTGTTCTCAATGAGATCTCAACATGTCCGGCTCGAGGGTGAGAGTACATCACTTTACATGTCAAAAGCTTTATTAATTTCTCTTGGAGTAAAAATTTGTAATGTGTGAAGATGTACTGAGTGCACCTTTAATTAAAGCCGGTCTATTAGAGCGAGATCAGTGTTCGAGAAACATGTACAAACACCCTAATGTGTGTCACTCTCTGCCTCTTACTGCTGTTTATTCAGGGACTGTCCTATTTATGAGTGCTTTATTTAGATTTGAAGTCTTAATTTGACTTTGATCACTTTAGTCTGGGGAACATATTCACTAATAACTACGACTTTTGCCTCAAACTCATAATTAGGCTATTTCTTATTATCAGTTAGAAAGCGTAGTTTAGGTATTAAGGGATGAAGAATATCATCATGCAGAATAAGGCATTAATATGTGCTTTATAAGTACTAACAAACAGCCAATATCTTAGTAATATGCATGATAATAAACAACTAGTTAATAGTGAGAATTGGACCCCAAACTGAAGTGTCGATTGGTTTTTAGACCAATAGTATTATCTATGGGCTAACTGAACTCTAAGGCCCATTTGCAGTGTTTTTCATATGTAAATTGTTATTGATCTTGCGTTTTGTAGACAAATTTCAACAAAACGCTCTGTTCACTGTGATTTCTCCATTTATTGGAAATGTGTGTGTTTGAACCTTTTTAGGAATAAAAAGGATGTGTGGTGTGATATTCAATAACAACAGTGCAATCATTTTATCAGTGTAAAGAATAAAAAGCATTCAATAATCCTCCAGTGCTCTTCGGTCAATGAAAAATTCTTTACTTATTTATTTTTGTACTTCATCGGAATGGTATGAATTTGGTAAAGGTTTTGGCACTTGCTATGTGAAAGCATGAAATAACTTGACATGATTTGAAAAGAGTATGGTCCCACTTGTATTTTTATGGTAAAAAAATAATGAGAAACTAATTTCATCTAGTTTAATTTCAAGCTCATTTTTTGAGATATCAACCTCAAATTAGGAACAGCAATTTTAAAACTTCATCAATGATCTGCTGAGTGTCGTCTTTAAAATGAGATCAAACTTACATCTTTAGTTCCAAAGTATTCCAGATTTACGACAGTTCGAAATTTCGGTTACAATTTATTTTAATGTGTCATTAATACAATGTAAGTATGCATTTATGTACGGAGTAATAATAATTAACAACGTGCTTACTATAGGGTTAGGGTGGGATTAGGGTTAGTTGCATGTAATTATGCATAATTTACTACGGTAAGTACATGCAACACATAACAAGGACAACGTAAAATAAAGTGTTACTGAAATTTCATTTTCAGGTCTATGCTTAAAATAAATAAATGTATTATAACTACTGCATTAATATATTTTAGTGCCATAAAAAGACAAAATATTAAATAAAAAAATAAATTATAGTACAATCATTTCATTGAAATAAAATTAAGAATAGTACCAGAGGGTTAAATAACCAGATTTATTAAAATAGTGCCCTGCTCTTACAGTGATGCTGATGTACAGTCCTGCAAAGAATATTAAAATGTGAGCTCCATGGAAGTAGAAGCACTGCATGTGTATCCGGATGACAAACTCTCTTTACAGATCCTTTGTTGCGATACTGTGGAAATGAGCTCTGGATAATCACACAGCCGAGATTCATTCAGTCTCCATGAAGAATGATACTTGACTCAATGAATCTGAAACATACACACACAAAATATATATATTCTTATATTTTAAGAATCCATCTTGCCACAGGCAGCTCGCTCACTCGTAACATTGTGCATGAGTGCATGTACTTTTTAAATAACCATAACTTGTTCAATTTTCTACCGATTTTCAAACAGTTTTGTTTGTTATAAACATCACAGATCTAGTTATGACACTGCATACTTATAATAAGTGTATAAATAAATAACCATCCAGAATTATAGGCACGTTAATAACGTTTGTAAGAAACCAAACCATTTGTAAATCCATCAAGATTGCAGCAAGATAAGAGTATTTGTGTTAGTGCTGACCACTCATCTTACATCAGGAACCACAGAGAACGCTTGCCTGTGCCAAGATGGCCGCCGGTGATGACGATAGAGACTCTGCCGTAAGGCATCTAGCCATTATTATGGATATCTATGGCTGTAACAGTTCAGTGCAAAACACTTGTAATCAGAGAAAGGCCTGAGAATGGGCCATGAGTGAGTACAGTGCACAAACCTGCGATTCTCTGTTCTCCGCTTGCGGAGTGAAGACATTGCCATTGCTTCGGTGCCGTTTCCATCAACACGAGGTCACTGGGTGTCAGCGTCTGCAGGAGCGTCCTTCTGCGCACTAATCTGACCCCACGCTGAGGAATTCATCACTGCGTGTGTGTGTGGCTCACAGACAGCTGAGCTGGCTTACCGATACGAGCCGTCGAAGTGACACGGGAGGATTTTAGAATTACTTACATTCCCTAACAAAACTGCAGGCAAATACATTTCACCCATTTTATTTCCGTAAATAGATGCACAGAAACTTTTACCGAATGACCGGCATGAAATGGAAGTGTTTTTTTTCTTTCTTTCCTATTGTGACGTGAAACTTTTATCAAACAAGATCAAATGTAGACCATCAGAGAAGAGGAAGTTATTCAGATTCAAGATCACCAGGCAGGAACATCCATGTAAAGTTCCCCCATGGTGAAAATCCATCCATTTTTAATACGCTTTAAGACACACCATGTGAAAGTTCATAAGTCGACAGCATTGCTGAGTATTTCCTGCTTAAAACTGCAGTGAACCAAAGACACTCTTAAAAACACGGTTTGAAATCGCTGGTGTTTCTGACGTCACAAATGACCTTGTAACCAATCAGATCAACGTGTGATCGTCAACCAGTGGACCTCTGAGTGAGTGGAGGCGCGACTCATTTGCATATTCATAGAACCGTGCATACTAAATGAGGCAAGGGTGTCGAGTTACATTCGAGATATTTTAAAGCAAAAGGAAAAAAACTTTTAAAAATGTCATTTTGGTGTTTTAAGTGATCAAATTATTGACTACGAGGGGACTTTAAAACAATACTGATGTCAATTTTGATTTCATGGTGACTTTAAACTTTGAAGGATACTGCATACGAAAGTGTCGTTCTGAATCCTGGAGCCACTCTAGCATGTCTGAGATGGAGGGAAACGCGGCTGATCTGGACACACATGCAGCGACGTCAAGAGTCTGTGTGTTTCTCTCATAGAGCTGGAAAACAGCCGAAACCTGCTGGCCGACGGCATCTCGCACTCGCTGGAGGGCGTCCCTGTGGACAAACACACCGTTACACCGTGCACTGCTAATGGGAGACACTAACACACTCATTTACTTGAGGACTAGAGTACACTTTATGAGTATCTGTACTTTGCTTGAGTATTATTTCTCCTGGAAACTTTTTACTTTAACCTCACTACATTTGAAAGACAAATATACTTTTTACTCTACATTTCTGTCAAGGTCCAAGTAGTAACGTCAGTCAGAGGATGATTTTCAGTTGTTTAGTCTCTATAGGGTTTATGACATTCTAAAAGCTCCTAAAGATACTAGTAACTGGTGTGTGTAAGTTACTAGTAATTTAAGAGGCATACGGTACTGTAAGTATACAATAATGCAACATTAATAAAACAATGCATTTACTCTTTACTTTTGAAGTACTTTTAAAAACGAGTACTTCTGTGCTTTTACTTGTGTAAAAATCGGTCTTTTCAACTTTTACTTGTAACGTAATATTTGACCAGTCGTGAGCTTAGAATTATAAGGTTCTATCACCACTTTTGGTCGAAATTGAGTTTTTGACATAATCTGATCCATTAGGTGTTTATTAATGCCTGTGTGGTGTTATTTTTGTAAAAAAAAAAATATTTTGTTAGTAGTTATTAATAAAATAAAAAGGTTCCATCTCACAAAACATAAACCGAGTTGGGATTATAAGGTTCTATCTCCAGTAGATTCAATATCCAATTAAAACCCTGAAGGAACATGGACAGACTAATCAAAACCCACCTCTTAGCTCTGTAGCCTGGACAAGATTGTGAGTAAGATTGTGTTTTGTGTAAACACTGCTTTGTTTTGCGGAACTGGAAAAGTATCTGGGAAACCAACGGCACAGATAGAAAATGTGGCATAAAGACAACTACAGAGAAAATAATTTTATAAGAAAACACCCTTCAATTTAGGAAGTACTGTACAGGTGCTAAGCAATGCAATTGTCAGGTATTAGGTGTTTATTAATGCCTGTGTGGTGTTATTTTTGTAAAAAAAAATATTTTGTTAGTAGTTATTAATAAAATACAAAGGTTCCATCTCACAAAACATTAACCGAGTTGGCATTATAAGGTTCTATCTCCAGTAGATTCAATATCCAAGCAATGCAACTGTGACTGTTTATCCTGTTGAGTCCTGGACAGTGCCTCAGTGGGTCCCATTGTCTAATCTGTCTAATATTTATCCATGTTCAAGTACATGCCTGCAGTTGACAAAGCATACTACAAGGCAGTATTTAGAAAGTAAAGATAGAAGGTTGGAAAGAGTCATGACAACATAAATTACATAACATGAACTACATCATACATAACAAAACAGACATACAGAATAATAAGGGATGAAAACATAATTTTCATGATGTTACAATATTTTGTGTTAATCTACTAAATTAAACGTTTTTAATGTAAGATGCTTCCTAAATGTTTTTTACAGTACAGCGGAGTGAGGTGTAGTATTGTGTAATTACTCCATGTCCATGTTCTTTGAAAAAAAATTGTTTTTCTTACAAACTTGCTTGGCTTTGAGCCTTTGATACTATACTATTATATTATAGTATATACTACAAGCTGTGTGCTTGTATTATAAATATATAAATTGATTAAAATCAATGGTTATATACAATTATTCTTTGAAATGTGGGGTTTTAATGGTAAAAGTGGAGACAGAACCTTATAATTCCAAACAGAATCAGAGCTCTCAGACTTAAAAGGTTCTATCTCCATTGGGGTCATCTTAAAAAATCCCATTTCCAAATGAGCCAGGATTTTGATATTTTATTCACAAAGTACCTATAGGGTGATGGTCTTGTTGAGCTATAATAGAAGATTATACTACATAACAGTTTTGCCAGCTGGGATGTAAAAACTTTGATGCTCAATATCTCAGAACTACCCTAAACGGAGATTGAACTTTATAATTCTAAGCTCACGCAGTACTTTCACTGAAGTAAGGGGGTTGTGTACTTTGTCCACCATTGAAATGATCATGAAACAAGACTCACATGTTCTCTGCTAGTTTCCCGAGCGCTGTATCCACAGCCAGAGAGAGTTTGCAATGAAGGCGTTCCTGTAAACCAGGGAAACTAGCGAGAGGAGTGTTTGCGAGCTGGACGTGTTTCAAAGCCTTTAACTGCACTGCAATGTTCCCTATAGAGCTCAGGAGAGGCTCGCAGTCCGCCAGCGCACTGTCCCACACGGCTTTATTCGCTTTCAGAACCGCAAAGCATTGCTTGAGCTCTTGGTGCAATGATAATAAAACTGAACCTGACATTTTTAAACTCCGATGTTATTTACAAAGAATTAATATTATAAAAATGTTAAAGATAGCATTTGAAGCTTATCTGATAAACACACATTATCTGTGACTAAGCGTGTAAAACCATCCCGTTTCCACACGTGAGAATGTCGCTAGACTTCTTCCGGGAAAATGTATCATCATCATCATCATCATCCACCAATGCGCTTGATTCTTTCTGCAGCCGGAAAAGTGAAACACTGAACCATTGGCCAGAATCTTCATGTACTGATCCTATTGGTCAGAACGCGGAGCGACGGTCAACGCTGCATGCTGATTGGCTTAGAGATGTAGCGTTAAATTTGAAAACCCCTTCTTACCAACTGCCTCAGTCAGTGAGACGCGCCGTTTTAACTAACACGCACAGGGTTATTAGCGTAAGAAACATTAATTTGATTTAATGAACTAACACATACGAGCGTTATCGTTGCGAGGCTGAAGGAATTAGTCGTGTTCGTTGGTAAGTTTCATCATGGCACCCAGAAAACGCACGCAAAATGCCAAAACCAAGAAGAATCCCAAAACCCCCAAACTGGAAGCTTTTCTGCTGGATTTCGACGACGAAGGTTTCTTACTTTACTCGCTGTATTCTGTATGCACAATGTTTAGGCTGTATTTGTCTATATTTCTGCTTATTCTTTGTTTTCAGTTCATACCATTGTAGAAAGACTGAAGGATAAGACGAACAATCTCCTGAAAGATGCGGATAATCTTTATAAAACGGCTCTGATCAAGCTTCCCATGGCGGTGAGGAAGATGAACTGGATCGAGTATTGCAGTAAGACAACACTCTCTCTTTACCACATCTGGCAAATTATTACAGTAGTCAACATTTCAAGTGGATCAAAACCTTTCATCAAACCATAACGTTACATATTTTGAACAATACTAACTAGGGTGACCATATTTTGATTACCAAAAACAAGGACACTCGGCCCGGTGAACAAATACTCAAATAATACTCGATGTTTACTCCAAGATGCCTTATTAATTTCAATACATTAAATGTAAGCGATGCCTCCTACAAGAAACAAATTCAGATAAGCTTCTTTGAGGTTAACTTACTCAACATGTTTTATTATGACAGGTTTGACAAATTATGAATTAAATGAGAGCAATAATGTATTTTCTGAAAAATAAGTATTTAAATAATGATTACAAGAAATTTCTCCAAATTGAACAAAAACAGCTCTCATAATCTTGCAAAAACAAACAAAATCTATTTACATCTTTAGTTTTCTTCCTCTTTATCCTGTTTTTCCTCTTCATCCTCTTTGTTTGCCTCTATATTTTGCTCTAGAGCTGATCTTTCCCAGCAGTTTTTTGATAACCAGGACATTTTCATCACTTTATAAAAAACTGCCAGGACATGAAAACAGGACTGTTGGTCACCCTAAACAATACCTGTACTTTGACAAACTTTTTTGACCCACTTCAAATGTTGACTACTATATATATATATATATATATATATACATATATACACACATATATACATATATACACACACACACACATTTACCACCTATTTTACTACCATCACAATATTTTTACTACCAACATGGCTTCAAACTTCAACTGTAGCAGTGTTAAAGAGCCCCTGTCATAGCATTTGAAATGTTCTTATTTTTGTTTTAGGAGTTCCCAAAAGCAGTTTAATATGCTTGCAAGGATAAACACTTTTATTTGTCTTATAATATGCATTTATTTTTATCTGATTTGCTCACCGACTCCCAAATTATTCGTACAACGACTCATTTTTTCAAACCACTCCTTTGCGTGACGCTAATCGACGGTGATTGGTCAGATGACAGACCCAGTCAGTTATTGTTTGTTAGCATAATGCATAAACATAATGATAAAGCACTGCAGTACTACAAGATGCTCTATTCTTAATGACAACTCCAATAACAGTGACAAATATTTCACATATTTAAAGAGCCCCTATCATGGATTTTTGAAAATGACTGTTCATATGGTGTGGAATATAGCTCTAATAAGGGAATTAAAACATCCTGCAAAGATTTATATCTGAAAGTGCACCGCATCTAAAGTTATTGTCTTTCAAAAGTTAGAGTCGACTCTGAGTCTATGAAATGAATTGTTTTTGAAACGAGTCATTAGCTGTTACATCGTGACGTAGAGACATTCTGGCCGTGCCCAATTACTGCGCGCGCAGACGGAAATGTAAAATTGAAGTCTATATTCAAATACTTCATCATAGCATCATGTCAAGAAGACGCCGTGTTCTACAATGCAAAGATAGTTCAGCCTCTTTGTTTTCATTTACCAGGGACGAGCATGTGAAGAATCGGTGATTAGAGTTCATATTTGCAACGATACCACAACAGTATAGCCCGATTGTGTTCTCAGGGCTTGACATTAACTTGTTGAGGCACTTTTCCTTCGGACAAGTAAATTTATGTTTCACTCGTCCATGCACAAAAGTCACTTGTCCGGGTAAAGATTTATAATTTTATCTAGGGCTGCATGATTTGGGGAAAATTTCATATTGCATATATTTCATATTTCATTATTGAGGTCAATATTGCGGTTGTGAAATGCGATTGCGATATATAATGAACAAATGGTTTCATGAGTCAACTTGTTTGGTTCTAAACCAAATGCACACACAGATTAGTGATAATTCTGAAATTAGCAATAGCAACTAAAGGATTGATTAACACCTATAATAATCAATAAGCCATTGATGTCTGGATAAAAATTAACTGTCTAACAGGTAGGACAAATACAGAAATTGTTTAAAGTTATCAGTCTGCGCTGCATAAATTATAAATTATATTTATATAATTTCCTTATTAAAAGCTACGCAAGTTCTGAGTAATTTTCTCTGTTCCCTTTGCTGTTTCATTAAAGGGCATATTGCAGGTTAGAGGACCCAACGAGTCAATGCATAGAAAAACATTGTAGGAACTAGATTTTCTTTAAAATATTCTTATAAATATGCTACAGAAGCTTATGGAAATTCGTTTTTGTCAGAAAGTTTTACTTCCGTGTCTGAAAATGGGCGTGGCGGGCGTGACGCAATGAGCGGGAGACTGGGGAGAGCGGTCGATTCACACAACAGGAAAACAATGGATAGCAATGACATTTCGGACGCTGAGGAAATACTCGTATGACTGATCAAGCCATAAAGTTCTGAGCCTGCTATGCTAAAGGAGAGCAGGGACTGGCCAGGATAATTTCAGACAGAACGGTCGGAGACAAATTGAGTTGTGATGTGAGAACCAGTGGAGAACAGTGTCTTCTGATGAGAGACGTGCTTATAGATGTACACGCTCGCTAATGATATACACTGTGCTCACAATACTGTACAGATTATTATGATCCTATAACAGGCCAGCAGACATTAGTATGTTTAGGGTAGATTTACACTATTAAATGTATAAAAACTTTACTAAAGTATATTTCTATTGTACTAAAAGCACTCAGGTAAAAATTTTAATACATATTTTTCACCTGGGTTATAACATAAACAGAAAATTAAAGATTTGAGTATTTAAACAACCAATTTTGTTTTTCAATTACAAGATGCCTCCATTTAGGGCATGACAAGACTAAGTTACCTATATATCACACTATTTGATGCCATTGGTATAGTATATGACGATCAATATTTTTGCTTCGGCATCTCATGTTGATCGGCGGGATGCTAATCGTTTGATCTGAAGTGAACACTACACACGACCGCGTTTTCCGAAGCCGATGCGGAAGAGAAATCCCGTCTCTTCACCTGCACAAACCGCACCAGGAACGAAAGATATAGGCAATAGCACAGTCCATTTTCTTGTAATGGAAACTTGTGGACTCGACCTTGAAGTACTGACAGGCCTGAGTTTATGCAACCTCCACAAACACAATAATTTACCATGACGATGAAATTAAAATACAAAAAGTACCGAAAGCACACTGACAGACGACCGCGGTCACTGAATACCAGCCTACTCTTCACTGAGCCGAGGCTGCGGCTCCCTGATTTTTTTTTAACCTGCAATATGCTCTTTAACTTTACTGACTGAACGCTTTATTGGTAGTTGGCCCTTTAAGAGGAGTGGGACAGAGACGCGGATCTCACACGCGCCTCATTCTCTCACGAGTCACAACTCTTTATGTCCATCATAAGACTGCTCTTATGACAAATGAGATTTTGGCTTAATTGTGTGTGTTGATGTTTGTTAAAGCGCGAAAGAGAACTTCTGGAGCGCGGTTTGTGCATGAGCATTTTACTGGCGCGCGTCTTTCTGTGAGTCACATTCAGGACATTCACAGGCAGCGCGACAAATGTGTTCATTTCAAATCGGTAAAATTAAATCTGTAAAATAGACGTAAGTGGCACATAACGTGGAGCAACATGGCATTTTATTTTGTTTGAAATTTAAAGTCCCTGTAAAGGCAATTCTACAAAAAAGTTCTAAACACATTATAAATGTTGCATATGTATTGCTAAAACATATTACAAAGTCTGTGAACTGTGAAGTACTGAAATGTGGAGTTAAACAGTTTTTCAACATTGCAATTTTACGGATTAATTGGGCGGGGCTAAAACAGGGCTCCGTGATGCACTGGAATCCATGAGCTGCTGGACACCCCCCTATTTGATGACGCACTGAGTCTGATCTCCCCCTCTCCACACACACTCTCCGAGCACATTCGCATTCACTGCTCAATCGCGAGTGACTGTCAGTACTATTAGTTACTACAGTGAGCCTACAGTTTTCTAGCTAGCTATGCCTTCGACACGGACATGCATGGGCTACTACCTGGATGCGATCATGTACAAAACAGATCGGTATCTTCATTTCAATTCCCTTAAAAACGATCACATCAAGAAGAGGTTTTTAGAGAGCTTATACCTTGATGAAGAGCCTCTGTACCTCTGTAGTGATCGTTTTACACGGGATCATTTTATAAACTTTCCTCAGAGACAACTTGGATTCACTGATAATCCGCTGTTACTGGTGAACGAGGCCGAAACGACGATCTCCCGCCTCAGTGTTCATCCTCTCGTCTCCAAAACCTAATCAGCTAACATCACCATCGACAGCTTTCCCGTGAGTGGGCGTGGTTTCAGCGCAGCCAGCCGACACGCCCCCAGCGTTTGAGAGCAGAGAATCTGCTCATTTTGTCATGATTTTGATAGCTTATTTTATGTACTTCCTGGATTTTATTTTTTTTTTATCATTCAAATTTGGCTGGGTGGCTAATAACACATTTTTCTGTGGAATGACAGACTCGGAATACATACTTAATTTTGACTTTACAAGGACTTTAACTTGTCCGGTCGGACAACTAATTTTCTCTTCTACTTGTCCTACAAAAAATCCACTTGTTCCGGACAAGCGGACGAGCCTTAATGTCGAGCCCTGTGTTCTCATCATTTTAATTAATCGTTCAAAAACATAAATTAATTCAAAATTTATGTGGATTCGCAAGCGGTTGTTCCTGAAGGAGGGCTCAGGAACTTACCCAGTGCATATGGATCAGCTTCCTCCTATGAATCACAACCTGTAAGTATTATTAATAATTGTTGCTTTTATGGGTTTTAAACGGTTTTGTAGCTTCGGGCACGAGGAGGGAAGGCGCAATAAGGTTGGGGGAGCAGTGGAGGTTAATGGCGTTGATGTAGCTGCTGGTCCAGCGTAAAACAGCGGTAGCTGGGTGTTGCGTCCTCCGCATCCTGGTTTGGTGGCTAGTAGACTCCCTGTGGGAATTAACCACCTTCACCCCCATCCAAGTAATATTTATCGTTTTTTTGCAAACGTTGCAAAAAGTTTCTTGAGTGTTTCCAACTACTGGCCTAAGCCAGTCTTTAATCTGAGCGTCCTCCAGCCAGAGGTCCGAAAACTTGCACTTGCCCGTATTTACTTGATAAACTCGCGCGGAGCACAGGTTTACCGCCAAGCTAAGGTAACATTACCAGCTTGAACCGCCCAGGGCGGGTGGGGGGGTTAAATAGCTTTTAAATGCGTGCGCGTTATACTTTCACTTTCGAAATAAGCGTCAATTGGCAATTCAGCATCAATTGCTTGAATGGACAAAAAAACAACTCGCTGATAATAAAAAATTATGTCATTATTTACTCACCCTCAAGTTGTTTCAAACCTGTATGAATTTCTTTCTTCTGCTGAACACAAAAGAAGATATTTTGAATGATGTCAGTAACCAGACAGTTGATGGGGCCCCTTTGACTTATTAGTAGGGAGAAAAAATATACTATATAAGTCAATGGGGTCCATCAACTGTCTGGTTACTGACATTATTCAAAATATCTTCTTTTGTGTTCACAGCAGAAGAAAGTAATGCATACAGGTTTGAAACAACATGAGGGTGTGTAAATAATGACAGAATTTTATTTTTTGGGTGAACCATCCCTTTAATTCCAGTACAATGAAATAATTAAATGTATCAAACTACACTATATACACTTACACTATACTATAGGCCAAGATGTTTGCCTATCTTTTACTGGTATGTGATTTTAATACTGAAAATTTGAATGACTACTTATAAATGTAGATGCATCTTGACAAGACAACAGTATGTTTTGTGATATGGCATTGTTTATCTTACCTGTAATGCTTTGCTCCCTGTAGCTTCTGCAAGGATTGTAGCATAGATGTCCTGGCGTTTGTCTTCTGACAGGTAGGGCAGGGCCTTAAATCTCGGATCCATAGCGGTGGCCACATAAAGCGTCTCCTTGTTCAAGTACCTCTTTTTGAGATCCTGGCACATGGCAGATTTCATTTCCTTTACTAAGTTGGAATCTGTTGGGCTGTCTTCTAGGTTGTGGGTCAGCTGGGCAAGGAGTGGTGCTACAACTGAAAGTGTTGGAGTGGTCTCTTCTGACATGACTTGTGTAGCTACCTTCATGGGCTTCATAGCAGTGACCACTTCTTCAGCAGCTGTTATGTCTGCCTCACTGAGGGTGCAGATGTCCTTCTCTTTCTTCCTCACCTCAGCTGAGAGGAGTGCAGCATGGATGGCTGGCTGCTGTTCTAGGAAGCGCTGCAGCATGTCGTGTGCACTATTCCATCTGGTGATTACGTCAGTGATCAGTTTGTGGTGAGGCAGATTTAGAAGTTTTTGTTTTTCATGCAGTACATGGCTGGCTATGGTACTGCGTCTGAAAAAGTTAGTTATTCTTCTCACTCTTCCCAGTAAACGTGCGACTGGTGTTCAAAGTATGCGCAAAACATTTAATATGCAGCATACCAGCTATCTGCGCTGCAACGGTCATGTTTGACACGTTGTCAGTGACAACCGCGGGGTCCTTGCTTTTTATATCCCATTCCTCTAATGCATCTTCCAACACCTCGGCGATGTTACTGCCAGTATGGCTCTCATGCATTGCCCTCGTCTGCAAAACATGAGAAATCAGTTCCCAATTCTCGTTGATGTAGTGCGCCGTGATTGTAACGTACTATTCATTTGCCCTCGATGTCCAGCCATCGCATGTTAAGGCCACTAATTCTGCTGAGCCAAGAGATGCTTTTACAGCTTGCATCACCTCTTCATACATCCTGGGCACAGTTACCTCGGTAATGTGTTTGCGAGTCGGGATCACATAGAGCGGCTCCATTGTGTTTACCATATACCTCAAGCCACGGTTGTCAACGACACTGTATAGCCGCAAATCATGACAAATGAAATGCACCAACGACTCTTATTATTTTTAAAGCTCGAGCTGAGTTAGATGGAAGTTTGTTATGCAGTGTAGTATGCTTCTGGTCGCCAGGTTTCGGTTGCTTCTCTTTCAACATTATTTCTGCATGACGTCTGACGAGGTGCGTTCGTAAATTAGTTGTGTTACCTGAATATTTGATAGCAGCGTGACAAAGCGTGCATATTGCGTTTGTTTTATCCAAGTACAATCTCCCTGGTTTGTTTTTAAAACCGAAGTGCACCCACACATCGGCTTTATATTGCGAAGGGGCCGAAGCAATTTTGTCGGCTGCGCCTGTCATGTCGCTTGCAGCTTTCACTACTGAAATTGGCGCTCTATGGTGCCCGTCCAGGCACCCACGGCCACACCCAGGACAGCAAGTTGAAGGAAACTAAAGCTGCCATTCTGCGACATCAACAGGAACGGATGTTATAGTTCACCAGGTCACACCCCGTTTAAAACGTGATAATTATTTTTTACATCGATGTTTTGAGCTGGAAATCGATGTTGTATATCATGAATATAAAAATTGCGATATATTGCTGTATCTTTTTTTTTTTTTTTTTTTTTTCCTCTTTTTTTTTTTTTTTTTTTTAGCACACCCCTAGCGGCAAGCCTAGCCTGCACTCGTAAATTACCCTAATTGAAAACCATATAGACCCAGTTAGATGGGGCTTCGAAAATGTACTACCTCGTCAGATGACGTTTACTACTTTTTACTGGCCTTAATTTGGTATAATTTAATTTACTACCTTTTACAACCCCGCGGAAACCCTGTGTGTGCATGTATGTATATATATATATATATATATATATATATATATATATATATATATGTGTATATATATATATATATATATATATATATATATATATATATATATATATATATATATATATATAGTAGTCCATGTAAGTTGGTCTCTCAGTTATGGTCATTAGAGCATGCATAATAATGTAAACAACTGGAAAAACAGCAAAGCAATACGAATATAATGTAACTGTACTTTGATATTCTGACTCACGATTCTCATTTTACCTTTAGATTTAGAGAAGCCAAAATCACAAGTGGACGATTCAAAGGTACATCCACTAAACAAGTTACACCAATGTTTGCCAAATCCATCATTGTTCTTGATTTTAACTTTCTCTCTCTCTCTCTCTCTCTAGTTGAGGGAAGGGGCTGCTCAAGTGGAGCTTGCTATTGCTGAGAATCATGCGATTCCCAAATGCGCAGGAAAAGGTACTTTTTGTATCCTCCGTGATCTTGTAAAACATACTCTCCTGCATTCTCAAAGCTGATTTCCTCTTTCACCTCATTTGCAGAAGCTAAGAACGGTGCAAACTCAGAGGGTCAAAACATCGCTCCTCTGAAGTCTACGGTGAAGAAGGTTTGTGCTAGCATGGGTTTTTTAATCTACATAACAGGCTTTCAAGTCATGTCTAAAGTTATTGTATTTACATAAGCATTAGGGGTGTAACAGTTCACAAAATTCACGGTTCGACACTGTTCGGTTTGATACGGTTCGGTGCATTTCCCATACCGCAAAAAGAAAGAAATGGCAGAGAAATTTCCTTTTTTTTTTTTTTTTTTCTCATTATATTTTTATTAAAACTAACATCAAAGTATGATATTTTTTAACTTTGAGCAATGATGGAGCTATACTTGACTTTTCTGAGGAGCATATAAAGCAAAACTGCTCCTTGGACAAAATGAAATGTAATATTGTTGTAGTTATAAACAAAGGTTTATTTTAGTTCAGATTAACATTTGAGGGCAGCAATTGTACTCACAATGTCAAAATAAAACCAACGTGATGTTACTTGAAAGCATTATAGGCTACCTGCTAAACTTCCATGGTAACAGTTAGTGATGGGCTCTGGTGTTATTACAGTAAATCCTAAGTAAGTAAAGTCTTATCAACATGTCATGAACACTACTGAACACTAGGTGGCCGTTACAGAGTTCCATCTTTCGGACATTCATCATATCGCATTGGTTTTCATTTCTTGTCCTCAAAACTAGGGTGACCACCTGCTAATAAGCCCAAGGGGGGACAAGGGGTATGTTTCTGAGGGACAATGTGGGACACTGCTTGGCGCGGCGGTGCCCCCATCCCACGGGCAGTCTCTGATAGTGGTTTACCCATATCTAGAATTGTTACTATTGCCTTACTGTTTGTACATGAATAATTGTTCAAAAAAAAGCACATACATTAATAATGTCCTATTCCCTAAACATGTGTAATTGCTGATATATGCTCATGAATAGGCCATTTTCTAAATAAAATGAATATTTTGAACATTCAATGAATTGACAGATGCACTTCCACTTACGATTTACTTTAGCCATTTAATTTTATTTATTTTTCATTACAATGAATTCACTTTAAATAAATAAAAATATAAAATTATAGGATTAACAGGAATTATAGTTCCTCAACACCACAGGAACAGTTTTAAAAAAAAGTCTAAACTCACAACTCCAGAGGTTCACGGAACGACAAGGTGTGCGGTCATGACAACAATGAAAAAGTTGACAACCTAGTCAGCAGGTCACGTGGGAGTGGCAACCAGTCTTGGGGAAGTTCTTACTTTCTGAACTAGTTCAAAGTTCAGTTCACACATTTTAAAATGAACTAGTTCAGTTCAAAGTTTGCACAGAAATTTAAGATTTTTCCCATCTTCACCGACCTCGTTATAAAATCCGTTTAAATTATCATATGACGCCTTTGTCGACGGCGGCCGCGGTGCGACACTGGTGGCTTGTGTTGCCAGATTGGGTGTTTTTACTCTACGTATTAAGCCTTATTTACGTTGAGTTTTAGCCGGGTTTTCGCCTGGAAGGCTCTATAGAAATCTGGCACCCCATTGAACGAAGTTAAACTGAGAGAGCGTGCGTTCACTTCACAGACACCAGAATGAACGAGTTCACACCTTAATCAGGACAGGCAGTAAAACAATGCGTTCAGTTCACCCAAAATATGAACAAGTTCATGAACGTGAACGAGTTCAGGCACAACGTTTGGCTGCCTGGGTCTCGAGGATATAGACTGCCTTTTTTTTTTTTTTTTTTTTGAGGAACCATTGATTATGCGTGACACGGTTTCAATTTGCAGGACGCATGAATTGGGCTTCAAACGCTGTGCACGCACGCGCTAAGCGGGACGGGTGGTCACCCTACCCAAAACAGGGCACTAATCTGTTTATTTTTAAGTGTTTGTAGTATTATTTTATACGGAAATCAATTATTTATAATTCTTATGATGAGAATAAAGTTAGGGTTAATTAAAATTAAGGAAAATAAATATATTGATCTGAAATATAGCAAATTAATTTTAATTTATTACTTAAAAGGTACAATAACCAAACACATCTCAGTTTTTTTTATTAGTTAAATTAACAAACTAATGTGAAACTATTATCAGTACACTATAAATAAACTGGTTCTATGCCTTTATTAGTGAATTAAATCTAAGCCTTTATTAATATACTTTATTAGTGAATTAAATCTAAGCCTTTATTAATATGCTTTATTATTTTTAAGACATTTATGAAAATGCCTTCTATATTTCTTTTCACTCCACTGTACTCCACCACAGGCATCTGCACGTACGAATTGACAATTGGTTATTGTCATTTTACCATATTTTTGAACAGACAGTGTGTTTACTTGGAAATATAAATTAACTGAAAATATACAGTAATATTTCCATTGTAAGTTTGATCTTTAATTTAGAAGTGGTATTAAAGTCTTAAGTCTTAAATTTAAATTGTTTATACCTGTAGCCATCTTGCAGAGGCTAACGTGACTCCCCATCACTCTGAGTCCTGAGAAAAAACACTTTGTACCTGATTCAGTATCTGCTGTCAGATGAGATGTTGTCAGACTATGTCAGTGTCATTATTCTAACATTATTTTCGTAACTTATTTCGAAATAAAGTTTCCTCGCCTCAGAAAAACTAACTTTCCTGTCCTGTCAGATGTTACTGAGCTGGTAACATCTGACAAGCCCTGTATATCACTTGAATGTAAAGCGCAAAAAAAAAATACTAACTTATGCAATGTAAATTAGTAAGCCATGAAATTACAAAACAGTAGTAAATTACGTGCCTGCTAAGTTACTTGTGATAGCTTATTTTATAAAAACGGCAGAAAAATGTTGGACTATTGCCTAAGTCAGACTGGCTCTATGGATATATTTTAAGTAACTAAGTGTTTTAATTTCACAACAAAGCCAAAGCTTAGGAAAAACACTATTGGTACCTGGCTGTGACAAGTGAAGGCACTTCGATGCTGCGGAAGGAAGATGCTTCTTGACTTGCGTGCGTCTGTGGTGGTTGTGATGACTGAACTGAAACCAGAAAGTTTAAATGCTTTTTCTGATGCCGTCGAAATGCACAGAACGGTTTGAGAATGGACACAGGCCGTGAACCCGCAGAGGAACCGTGTCTGTGGAAAAGAGGGATCTAATCATGTGATTCCCTGACTTGAGTTTTGTCGAGAGGCGGAGGCGGCCCGAAATTTGATGGAGGCGGCCGCCTCATAATTGTCTATGCAGGAAAAACCCTGTTACATATTCGAGCCAGAGCGAGCGAGTTGATAGACGACGAACCTGCAGAACAACCTCTTCATATGGATGTATTGGTATGTGAGTTAACCGTTTTGTGTTATTAGTGAAAGTCGACTATTTCTCTTGTTAAAACAAGCACACTGACAAGATAAATGACTACGGTCTAATCGAACACAAAAAATCTGTATTGATAATATGATGCGTTTAGAAAAGCATCAGAAAACACAGCAGCTAAATGACCATTGATGAAACTCAACAATAATACTGCAGACGTGTAACGTTACTTCAAAACAAAGAAAGAAAAAGGTACTGCTAAACCATGACCACCATGTGTTTTAAGAAAGTAAAGTACTTTATTTTTATTAACGATATTTACAGCTTATCGAAATGCTCTTTGTCGTCTCCAAAGATAGAAGGAATTTACATCTCATTCAGACGAGGTCAATCGGCAAACCCTTCTTTATACTGGCGGAGGTTGTTGAAGTGGGAATCCTTGAAGTGCTTCAGGTCACTACATCCAAAAACCGAACATTTTGACTTGCCCTCTCGTAACTTCTGCATCATTGAGCTCGGACTACAAAATTGGAGCGAGAAATAATAATGGCGGATTGCTCTAAGTTTTGGACCGGTAGTCAGTGTCCTTATTTAGAGAGGCTCGGGAGCACGCATGCACGTCACAATTGATGGATTTCACAGGAAATCCGACCCGGAGACTTCACATATAAATATGAATATTGGCCTTCAGAGGTAATGGCAAAACCCGAAAAGTGGATCATTGCAATGTGTTATTACAACCCTTTCAAACATGGGCAATAAAAAAAGGTTTCATTTTATAAAAATAGTTACATATAGGACCTTTAAGTTTAGCAAACGACGAGAACTTTTTGTGTGCATAAAACAACAAAAATAACAACTTTATTTCAACTATTCATTTACTTCTCTCTCTGCCTCGAGTCAGGTTACTAGTTTAATAACGTAAGCTTTTGTTATTGTACATCACACGCATCACACACTACCAGCGTCAGCCAATAGTGAGCCTATATGTGACGCAGCTCTAAGCTATCACACTGTTAACTGATTAGAGGCTCATAGAGAAGGAAGTGAATAGTTGAAATTAAGTAGTTATTTTTGTTTGTTTTTTCGCACAAAGTATTCTCGTCGCATGATAAAGTTAAGATTGAGCCACTGAAGTCACTTGGACTAATTTAATGATGTCTTTAATAACTTTTCGAGGGTGGCAAGTTTCAATTTCTCAAGAAGCCTATGGACTACTATGCAGGAGTGATCCAGCTCTCAGATTTCATCAAAAATATCTTAATTTGTGTTCCGAAGATGAGCTAAGGTTTTATGGGGTTGGAACAACATGAGGGTTTAAATACTGACAGAATTTAAGTAAGTTAATAACTGATGCTAAGCTAAGTTAATAACTGATGATCTTTACAACAGAAGTGAATCAATCAAAACTAACTTTATCTGGACAATAACTTTACTCTAGTTCTGCTGTAAAGCCTAAACACTCTGTTACTGTAATCTCCTGTTATCACTGTAAAGCTGCTGTGAAACACCTGTACTGTTACAGCGCTGTATAGATGATGTCTTGACTTGACATTAGCGGTAGCGTAGTCTAAGCTTATATTTATGCATTTAACAGACAAATTCAACTTTTTATCAGTTAATGCATTCCCTAGGAGTCAAACTCGTGACCTTTCCCTCCCGAGACTTATGCTTTACTGTTTATGCTGTAGTTATTTGCGTCTAAGAAAACGCTTTGTGTACAGAAGCCTAACTCTGTTTCTCTTTAATGTGTCTGCTGTAGAAGAAGGCCTCAAAGAAGGCGCCGTCGACATCAAAGAAGGCCAGAGCGCTCTCCATCAGCAAACAGAGCAACACCATCCAGAGGTACACCATGTGATCAGCACTAGTGGTGGAGCAGGGCGCCGAGTTCACGGTTCGACTCCGTAACTTTTTTTGAGCCTCGGATCATTTTTCGATCATCAAAAAAAAACTATTTAATTTCACTGTAGAAATGAAATAGTTTCATCTCTGTTAAAGCTGTATTTTCTTGTTTTGTTAATGACAAACAACAGCATATGATATTAGGTGTGTGCTGTCTCTTTAAGACTGACTGCATGAACCGAAAAAAAAAACATTTGTTTCTTTCTCAACTGTTTACTTCTGACATAAACTAGTGAATGGTTAACGAGACTGTATTATGACAATTTATGGCAAGTCAACGTGAATTCAATTCTCTCTCTTTGAGAGTGTGTGGCTGGCTGGCTGTGCGCACAGATAACGCGCGAGTCCCGAGTTTCGCCTCTTTCGCTGTTAAAATTGTTTCACATGCAATTTCCCCATTGGTTTGGAATCGCGTGGGGTCCGGTCTGCTCCACCCCAGATCATCATGCTTTTCCTCCCAGAAGCCAGTGTTCACTTCTCAATCCGCTTGCTTTCTGTTCGCAGATCTACAAGGAAGCCCCTGATCACTCCTGCGAGAAGCTTCCTCGAAGCCTCGGTCATCGGCTCCACGCCACTCATCACGCCGCGCTTCGACCCCAGGTCAGGGACTGCACATCGTGTGGCTTTTAATTATATTAATTAAATGTATGTTTTGCATTTTTAATGCAATGCAATTACTGTGCATTTAAGACAGTTTTGTATTTTTAATATGCAAATGAGCAGTGGTGGAGGAAGTACTGAATCTCAGTACTTAAGTATGGTTGTCATTGTGTTACTTCTACTTTTACTAAAGTAAATATTTATCTGGTTATTTGTACTTTTACTTAAGTAAAAAGTACCTGATTTTAAATGTACTTTTAAGTATTAAGAGTAAAAGTACTTGCATAACAATTTATTCTCTTAATGTCTATTTTCTAATGATTAATAAAACATTTAATTCTAACTCATTCAACCTAATACTCCTATAATGATGGGGAAAAAAAATGTCACCATTTCTGAAACAAGCTTGCAATTAGGCAATATACACATCATGCTTATCCTTACTATATGTTAATAACTATGTTTGGCAGTAAATGCGATTAATTTATGGTGTAATTCTGAACCTCTTGGCTTGCCATAATCCTAACCAAACGTATATTACACACGGTGCGTTTCCTATGCCCGTACAGACAAATTTTCGCGTATAAATCGCACGATAAAAGCACTGCGTGAAAGACGCATTTAGTGTGACCGGGTTGATGTATCTATGGCAACCAAACGTCACTGGTGAGACAAACGTGCAACGGTCCGATTACGTTTTGGCAGGGGAAAAACTGATCAGAAAATGTAATGGAAATGTAACAGAAGTTGTAGAAATGTAGTGGAGTACAAAGTATAATAATTGCTGCAAAATGTAACGAAGTAAAAGTAAAAAGTATGCACTATTTATTCTACTTAAGTAAAGTAAAGATGTGAAAATTGTACTTAAGTAAAGTAACAGAGTATTTGTACTTTGTTACATTCCACCACTGCAAATGAGGCAGTATCTGATTAAATCTGCATACTAGAACTGAAATCTGAACATTGTGCTAATAAGTCCATGTTTTATTGAGTTAGTATTTTGGATTATTTTTTTATCAGAACATGCTGTCAATAGACAAAGCATGTTTTTACCATATGTGAATAAAATGTCCTGTGAATCAGGCAAGTGATGTATGAAAACCTCAATAAAGCTGCTCAAACTAAACGTGCGATCACATTTCACATTCAGCTTTACATGCTCTCAGAAGTCCTCATCGAAATCTAAATAACAATTGTATACAAATGAATATGATCAAAGTATGGGAAACATGACATTAAGGATTGATGTGTTTGTATTCGAGCAGCATGAATCACAAATTCTGAATAGTAATTTGATAGAGGTTCTGCCAAAATGTTAATTCCTGCAGTTAAACATTCATAGATTTAAAGGTTTACTTTTTAAAAAGAAATCTGTTTGAATTAATGATTCAATGACTCTCGTAAAGACTTCACTTTCATTACTGGATGAATCAGTGTTTTTGAAGGAATCTAAATTAATGATTCAATGACAAGTCACTTGGCGCCACCTGCTGGTGTAACAAAGTAATTGAGACAATTATTTGAAGCGTCAAGTTTTTTTCAAAAGTTGATTTTGATCACTGCATCAGTGTTTATATCTGAGCTATAAGCCTTTTCCCCAGTGGTCCTGTGATGATCTGCATAATACGGGAATAATTGAAGCTCGTGTTTTGTCTGTCAGGTTGCCAAAGACTCCAGGATTGAGACTTGCGCATCACAGGGAGAAGATCTACAGCATGTCGGTCAACGGTTCGCCGATCGCCAGCGGCGGGGAGGACGTGGTCATCAGTGTCCCTCTGGGAAATGGAGAGGTCAGTGACGGCTGTTCAGAAAACCGGTTAAACCATGGTGATTAAAAATAAATCCAAGTGAACAATAGCCTTTAAAATTACTTTAAAAAGACACAAACACACACACACGCACGTATATATATATATATATATATATATATGTGTGTGTGTGTGTGTGTGTGTGTGTGTATATATACAGTGTTTCCCCTAGGATTTTTTTTTTTAGGGGGATAAAAGTACACTACCTGCTACTGTAGCAGAGCGAGCATGTAATTTTTTTTATTATTAGACGTCAAAAAGAATGTATAATAATTCAAATCATGTATTAATTTTTTTTAAATGTATAGATGTATAAAAAAAAACAATAATTCTGTTTTTGCTGGTAATAAAATTAAGCCATAAAACACTAATTTTATCAAACTTTTTGTCAAATGTGCTGCACAATAAACATGAATAATTCCTTGTTAAGTTTTGTTTAAAAAATTTATAATTTATTCGTATTAGTGTTAATGTATTATTACATCTGCACTTTTCCTATTTCTACTGTACAACAGTAATATATTTCTGTCAAGTTTAACCAAACTTTTATTTTGACTGGTTGCCGTGAAGCCCTTTGGGGTTTCTGTGAGTTTGTCATGATCGTCATGATGATAGTTTCACAAATGAAGTGGTGAACTGATCACGAATTGACTTTCAGAGTGGATCTAGAGCCTGGTGAGGAAGTTCAAAAAACAGCCCAAGCGTCACACGTGTGTCTTCAGTGTATGTGTGTGTGGTAAATAAAACTGCGTGTCGGCTGGAGTCTGGCGTCCGAGTCTGGAATGGCATAATAGAGAAGTGTTTTCTCTCTCGCAAGGGGGCGCTTCTCTGAAGTTTAAAATCATAGCTAACTCGTAAGCCAATCAGATAAGTTTATTTATGACGTGTGTTATGCGCCGACACGGCCGTATCGAGACATTATGCATCGAACTCAAATCTATGATCGAACTTTCTCTGTAAACAGAGAGTGGCGCTTTTGTAAGGGCTGCAAAATGTGTGCCAACCGGGAATAAACCATTTACAAACTAGGTTATTTATATGAATTACTGAGTTGCGGCCGCCCCGCAACGTCGACGTGCCCTGCTTTCACGAGTCATGAATGATTTAGCTTCCGCCACCCCGCAGCGCTTCGAGGGCGAGACCGAGCCACTGCTCTTGCGAGTCATGAATAGGAAGTTCATTTTACTGATTCTCTGAGTCATTCGAGTCATTTCGTTTATTTAAGTGGCTTAATGTTATAATTTTAACAGCCAAATTCCCCGATCACATCCACCTACGCAATGTTATTCATATTCTGTATTAAGAAATCATAATGCAGTAAAAAAATTATTTACAGGGAACAATCACTTTACCTTCCGAGTCTTACGTTCATTTGTCACGTGACATACACAATGAACAGATCGTTCATGAATCACATATCTGGGACTAATGCAGCGAGATGTCGAAACGAAATATGGTGGATTGTTGTTATTATTATGATAATAATAATAATATGATAATCAAAGCGCACCAGGAGCGTTCACAGCCGAGGAGACCGACGTTCTTGTCATGGCCGTAAAAGACGGAGAACTGAAATTGAATGGGGGTAAGTTATAGTATAGTATCCATAGTTATAGTATCCATATAGTTATGGCCAAACAGGTCTGATCCGTCATTACTACAATTAGCCTGAAAAAATTGGGTAGCCTAAATGCCTAAGCTTGAAGTGTTAATATTTTTCCTTGTTATAATGATTTGCAAAAATAAAAACGGCTGCATCCGTGTTGACGAGAGAATCAAAAGTGTATGCGCGTTGTGCAAGCTACATAATGGCCAAGCATGCTGGTTTTTGCTGGTATACGTTGCAAATAGAGAGGCAGCAAAATTGTTTTTTGCCTAGAGCGGCAGAAGTGCACGCGCTGGTCCTATCCCATCAGTAAACACTGATGATGCGAGCGAAATACCGGAGTGAACATGGCTGTAAGTGTAAACGACTTTTGCTTCAGTTTGAAAAACCCCGGAATGTTCTCCATAACAGAGCGAATTTCATCCCTTGTCTTGTTTCCCATTTCCGCGGTTGTTTCGGTTTTCGATTTCTCTAACTACAATGTAAAACTCGGCGCTTAGAGTCTACGTCACAGCTCTCAGCCCGCCCTCTGTTCGTTGATTGGCCAGCTGTTTTCAGGCCGGTGGAAAACTGAAAGATAGGCTGCTATCTCAGACTCACTACAGAAGCGAAATGAAATTAGCAGAAGTAGGAAGTCTGATGTAGTCAGGCTAATTCCGAATATGTGTGCTACCCAAATGACTAAAAGTAAGTCTTTGAGAATAGTTTGCCTCGCGTAGGCCATTCGACCATTCAAAATGCCATTCGACAATCGGAGCAAAAGTTGAATATTTATATAAAACAAAACAAAAAAAATGCAATGACAGAAAGGGAGGCCAATTTCGTCTTTAGCGATTTGACATAAAACAAACTGTTTATTAATTGAACAAGTAACATGTTTTCTTGTTGTTGTTTTTTTACATAGTAGGCTAATTGGAAGAAGTAAAAAACAATACGCGCGACAGTCTGTTTTTGCCTCGCCAATACTCGTTAGATCAAAAAATGTCATGTTATAATGATTTTATGTGAACCTGCGTTGTTACTGCAATAGCCTCCTTTTTAAACAAATTAGTTTCAATGTAAACTATTCGTGTGATTATGCCACTGCGCAATATACACATATTACCGCGGGATGGCTTGTGTTCATTTCATAAACTGTGGACAATGATAGCTTATTTAACCTGTTAACCAGTGCGCCGACGCTCTGAAGCGTGTTTTTGTAGCCTATAAATTAATGTATGGCCAAAAACCGGATAATGTCATACTTTTTAGTAGTGCTATCGTGGTGTAATAATTAGGGGTGTAAATATTAATCGATTTGCATCGATTATACAGCCGACGATTCAATGCATCGATGCGTGCGCAAGAGAATCGATTAATGCGTTTATTTTTGCCGCCTGTCTATTTTCAGCATCTGGTCCGACATGTGCGTGCAACCTACTGCTAAGCTGCGGGTGGGGCTAACCTCATTATTGTTGTAATTCACACGCGTTATACGCTTCACGTTCACAGGGTTCACACACGTTGTTGAGTCTGACTTTAACAATGGAACAGTCACAGCGCGCTGAAACTGAGACCCCATTTAGCTTACTCCTGATATTAAAATGCGATCTGTATCCAGATAAGTTATCCGGATAATAAAAAACGCATGTTAATGCAAGATGTAAATACGTTGTGATCGGATCTGCCTGACCACATCTGGAGGTAGTCTGGCTCGCATTGTGTTTGGATCTAGGTGTAAACACAATCTGGTTGTTGAAACCACATATGTATATTTTACTCCTCCCAAAAATGCTAAAAGAGTGAGAGCGTGTTATAGGCTATATGTCATGTTATAGTCAGATATGACGGTGCTACTGCGATGCATCACCGCAGATGAGCAGAGCGTCTATTCATCAAGCCAAAGTGCAAACATCGTAAATGAAAGTGAAAGTAAGTCACAGACGCTTAACGCACAATCATCTTCAAGTAAAGAAACAATCTATAAAGAAATTATCTCTTACCAGGGCTGTTGCCACTCTCTCTTTTTGCTGTCTTTGATTTTGAAATTAGCTGATTAATAAAATGCAGCTCATATTTGTTGCTTTTGGTGGCGTGCAATCCATTAAATCTGCATATAACGCGGGAGTTGAAGATCGGATTTATATCCATTTTGCAAAAACACATTTATGTGGCCAGGTGTAAATGGAATCGGTAAGATCAGAACACTTATTATCCGGATAACTGCAGGGTTGATGTATTTGAAATTTAGGCTGTAGAGGTCAGTCTGTTTGTTTGTTTTAACAGTGAATAGGCTAATTGGCCATATAGTAGACCTGCACTGTAAGCATTACACTTCATTATTTTTATTTTGTTCTAATTACAATTTATCTGATGGCACTTTATTGTAACTGTAGATGCAGTAACTGTTCTATTTGCAGTGCTTTGAGCACAACATGCACACTGCCCCTGTATAAAAGCCCCTACCCCTAAACCTACATCTGTTCCATGTAGCCTACTTACCTTATATTAGCCAGTACTTTCTAGGTAAGTATACTGTACTGTAAAAGGAAGCGTTATGCTTCCTTTTACAGTCCAGTTCCATTAACTTCTTTGTCATTGTGGAGAGCGCAGTGCATGGATGCTTAGCAATAACAGACACCACGGGAAAATGGGACCGGATTTTACTATTAATAAAAGTTAAGCTTTTAGACTCACTCTTTTTATAAAAATGATTTAAAATTTAAATGCTGAAATATTGGAGGTTTATCTTTTTATAACACATTTTGTTTCTGTGAAAAATGATTTAAAGGCTGATTTAAGTGAGATGTTTTTTATAAAACCTTTTTTTTTTTTGGTGAAAAATGGTTTAAAGGCTGAAACATATTTACTATATGGTGGGCCGGGGATGGCAGGGCTTGCTGGCAATATAAGTATCTGAATATTTTCCGCGGGCGAGGGTAATCGTCTTTCATATCCCAATTTACAGCGCTGCAGCCTAATAGAATTACTCTGTTTAAGTTACGTTAACATGAATTGCTGAAATTACATCTAGCTAACGTCTACATGCTAACACGTTAGCTCTGAATCTCCTTAAAACAAATGTTTTCTTCTCTGTGATCTGTGTCATTTCTAACAAGAGTAACGTTACCTATAAATACAAACATAAAACGGAATAACGTTATATGTTAATGATTTACAGAGTTCATGCAAAAAGCTAACAGATTAGCTAATGTTATTAGACAGGTATAAACAGCAGTAACTTTACTTACCGGAGCAAAATAATGTTACACCTGGAATCTTGGATGCCGCTGTTAATGTTTCTCGACTCCTGCTGTGCTGAAAATGTTTGATTGTGTGGATTTCGTCAGAGAAAAATTAATGGTGTAAACTCGTGGCCAGCTAGCTAGAGAACGCATGCCATGTGATAAGTTACAGTCGTGGTATGTTTATCTATTTTGAACGAATACGATTGGCTGATGTTAGTCACGTGACGATAAAATTCGTTTTTTGATTGGTTAGAGGTATAGTACTCAATCGCGTTTGCCTAATCCGTTTATTAAACGTAAATTTAGTTCTCTAAAAACTATGATCGATTTGACACTGCCAACAAACGGATTCGGGTTCAGAAAAAAAGTATTTAGTTTATGTGAAAAAAGCAGCTTCTCTATCCTCGAGGATCTATCATTTCAAAAACTAGAGCAGATAGCAGCGTTCGGCCCACCGTCCATCTGCAAAGTGTTTAATTTTAATTGTGTAGGCCTATACTCGCAATAAAACACAACATTGTGCATTTGTCACACTGTTTTTTTTGTCAAACAGTAACCTACAACTGTCACACACGCACTGTTTTAAAAGAAAATTATATCCGACCCTTTTTTAAAACAGTCTGTGTTCCATCTTTTGGACAGTCACAAAAATAGACTCTGACAGTCATCAAACCGCATTGGTTTTCATTTCTTGTCCTCAAAACGGAGCACTAATCTGTTTATTTTTAAGTTACAAATTAAAAAATAAAATAAAATGTGTTGGTAGTATTTTTTTTTTATACGGAAATCTATAATTCTGATGAGAATAACGGGTTAATTCAAATTAAGGAAGACATGTATTGATCTGAAATATAGCTAATTAATTTTAAATTAATTCAGGTACAATTACAAAACGTATCTCAAGGTCTTTTTAATAATTTAATAAACTAATTATAACCAGTTTATCTATAATGCACTGATAATAGTTTTATGTCTTTATTAATAAAACTTATTTAAAAAATACAAGGCTTAAGACATTTATAAAAATGCCTTCTATATTTCTGTTTTGCTTTTCATTCCATTGTACCAAAATTTTACTGAACCGTGATGTCTGAACCGAACCGTGACTTCTGTGTACATTACGAGGCTGAATCCAGCTTCTTATTCGCAGCTTCTTATTGACGCTATCCGTTCCACCAATAAGAAGCTTTGAATAAGAAGTTGGATTCAGCCTCGTTTTTTAATTAGAGTTTTCCATGGTTGTGTTGACATTTCTGTCTTGGGATTATAATCAGAGGAAGGTTAAGTGTAAAATAAAAATGCTTAATTGTAATAGATTTTTTCTCCTAGTCCTTATTTTAAATGGGTCATAAAAAAATCTATAATTATTGATATCGACCGATATGAAAAACTGATATTGTGATAAAGTTTTCAGCCATATCACCCAGCCCTACCTCCGATGTCTTGTCAAATCTAGTTGTAGGCCTACAGTCAATCGCAAAGCTCTTTCCCACTTTATTTGTGTGTGTTGTGTTTGTTTTTCGCGGCATTCACGCTGAACACATATACAGCCGCTCAGTCTTTTTGCCACTCACTGAGGAACTGCAGGCACCCCGGCCGACGGTGACGTCACGCGCATTCCCTCTATACACATGCAACTTTCGCCCATAAAGGTAATGGGCGTTGTGATGTAAGAACAGGTTTTTTATGTGTGATATAAATAAAGTTAACTCAGAATGTCAAAGGCAAAAATAAATAATAGGCGATAATACTCTTCCCACTGAACACAGCTTTGCTGAACACAATTGCTGTGAAAACTCTTCCCGCTGAATACAGCTTTCAAATGTCACACGTTCGGTAACAGGACTCCATAGGATACGTGCACGAGCTGCCTCTCTCTCTCTCTCTCAAACTGTTGTCCGCACGGGCTGCTTTTATGCGCTCTCCTCATGCCAGTCACTAAAATCACATACAGGTGTTTTTTTTTGTCATTTGAACTTGACCCACTTATTCACCGCTCGGCTCCGTCCCAGCTCCCACACTACAGACTTTGCTGAACCACGCCCCTCTCGCCACAGGCATTAAGTATCCGGACAACGTGTACTACAGTTTAGCCAATCACAACACACCGGCCCAGGTTTGATAGAATCAGGAAGTCAACCGGTCGTTTACTGTATATGACAAAGGAGAATGCGGCTGACAATAAAGTTTACATTTATGAAAAATAAGACTTATTAAAAAAGAAAAACTTCAAATACATGTTATTGCACCCCATAAACACAACGATGCAAAGAAAAAAAGCAGTAAACCACCCCTTTAATGATTATCACGATTATTATGGAATTAATTTCACAACACTACTAATGTATAATATCACATGACCACTCAACACTAGATTTTAATGTGTTCTTTATTGCTGCCACAACATGGTACAAAATTGTAAAATGACAAACAATAATCTCTTTCTTTGGAGTTAAAGAGCAGTCCTTTGTAAACATTCAGTATTTTCCTTTTAAAAAGATCAAATTAAGTCAAAGGCTGTAGGACTCTTTGATTGAAATAGATCAGGGTTTAGTTTGTTATAAATTTATTTTCAACCTGAAGTAGAAAATAAACAATATCTTATTGGTATTTGACTTAAAACATAAATGATAATATAAAGGGATAATAAATCCCAATGAAAATAAGAATAAACAGTCTTTGGATCTGTTGAATTAAATGTATGCTAAATATTAACCATGTATTTCTCTTAAAAGAAAACAAATTGAAACCACATTTACTAAAGTAAAACAGTCTTCTTTTCAATTATTGATATATGCATTCTTTATAACTACTTGCATACATCATTCTTTTATTCTTTCAAGCAGACATATTTATTTGTATGAATATAATGAATCCTTATTACAGCTATTAACAAACAGTGAATGCTTTTCTCTTTCTTTTGTTGCTTAATCAATATTAAGGACACAGACCGCATTAGGTTTACACTGTCACTTTAAGACGTCGGATCATGTCTAATGACATGCGGATCCAATTGCACTGATTCACACCGATACACTCACAACTATTTAAGACATAACCGACATAGATTACATGAATACTGTCCAAAACGGACATTTAGACAATGTTGTGTGGGTTTGTCTATTAAGACATGAAAGAAAGCTCAGTTCAATCCTTGCGCGCGGTCTCTATTGTGCATGGCTGCAGTTGTCGGGTTTGTGCGCACAGAAAACCATACCGAATAGAGCTCTTTTTTAGCATCGTCACTTTTATTGAGATCTATAGCCTTTGTCCGCTCTACTCATTTGCATTTTTATTAATTAACCATTAACTTTACGATTAATTACCCATGACATTTTAAATCGCGGTTAATTGTGAAATCCGCTGATCGCTGCATCCCTAGTACCGAAGATTCTTCAGTTTTATGTAAAACAGAAATACCACAAATTAAATATCAGATCTGTCATATGGCCAAAAATAAATGCAGTTTAACACATGAAAACTGTACCAATGCATCTTACAAGGTCACATGACGCATGCTCTCTCTTGATGTGCGTGTCCACATTAAGTCCTTGAGTTTGAGGGTGTTGGATCTGGAAAGTCCTTTAGTTTGAGGTTACCTGAGGTGTGGGAACCCTGATAATATGACGACTTGTGCTTGGTTTTATTGTATTTATATGATATTTGTATTTTTGAAGTTGAATTTTAGCCATGGAAATAGCCTTGAATGCTGACAGTGCATTAAATAACTCTCTCTTTCTGTTCATGTGTCAGTGTGTGCAGCTGCTGGCCAGTGAGATGGACTCTGCGGATCTGAGTCGGCTGGACCAGAAAGCCCTGCAGAGCATCAGGAACCTGCAGGTACGACCCACTCCGAGTTTAACTTTAATCAGTATGAAGGTTTGAAATCAGTAGAGTTTGTGTTCTAGAGGTCAACAGCAGAGCGACTAAAGACTTTTTTTTTTTTAACGTGAATTAAAAAGTGAACTATCCCTTTAAATTGTATTTTGAAAGTTTGTCTGATTTCTCCCTGGCTGTTTGGAGAACACACACACTGTTCTCTATTCCTTAAAGTGTGTGTATTTGCTCCTAATGTCTTTATAATAGCCTCTTTATAACGCCTGCAGAAACCTGTCATCGTACACTATTAAATGGAATTTAAACACTTTTTGTAAACTGCATGACTTAATGTTGTTTTCCTAATGCAGAACCGGCTGACGACTCTCTGTGGATCAGCGAAGTGAACTCCAGCACTGAACGAGTTTTATCTGTTTTATAACCATGTGGGTTTTACTCCTCTTTCCTTCGTGTTTTCATGTGCTGTAGTTTCCTTGCATTGAGCTTGTATCAGGTAGATTTAAATAAGATAGTTCTAGCCATTATAATCTGTTGTACCTTTTGTGTAAATATGCCTCTTAAAAAGACCATGATTCCTCATCGCCGCTGTCGTCTGCTCCTTTACATTTATGAGAGTTTGTTAAAACTGTATTAACTCAGATGCGTCACCAAAAACTATTTTTTTAATCATGTGAGCATATGTATATTTCAGTCTCTTAAGAAGAGTTAAAACCAACATGAATCTGTATGATAGCAAACAAAAATTAAAATTTTAATATTCCTGTCCTTCACTCATATAAACATCTGAAGTTTCTGTTTGAGGGGAAGATTTCTGAATGTTTATTAATGGCCTAAAGATCTATATTTCTACAGTATTGATGTTTATGGATCGTTTAGTGTTCATCACTTCTGTCACGCTGAACACAGGCTAGAGATCTGTGGAGAAAGTGGGATATTCTCTCAAATCAATAACCGGTTTGTTTCGAAATTATATTAACAGGATGACTCTTAATAATGATTCTTATATTTATAAATTATGGAAATGTATGATTGTGCTGCCATTGTTTGCCTCTAGAGGGCAGTGTGCGCATGTCAATATACAACACTTTGTAAAGCTTCAGACACTCGAGAGATGTCCAAGGACAGAGAAGAACAGCTGACTAAGAGCCTGGCCAGTTTAGTCATTATTCAAGCTCAAACTTTTTTAAAATTGCTATTCCAGCAACAATAAAAAAAAAAGAAGGGAAATGGCTATAACAGTTCCATCTCGTCTCATCCTCGGTCTCTGACCTTCAGGTTTGGGAAGAACTGGGAAATGCATCCAATTAGTGATTGTTAATGCAATGCCCTCGTTATAAGAAATGACCCCTGACCCTGAGGGATGAACAGATCCTGCTTTATCACACACACACACACACACTGTTGAGCTGGAAACACTTTCCTCTCGATACAGGAGAGGATTTGCTGAATATCAGACACTGAGATCCACTGAAACGGAGTCTCGAACAGCAGTATAGCTTTAAATGCTGAAGACCGCTCCATTAGTACATATGAGGGGAAACTGTAAATCTAACCATGTGTTTCATGCAATTGAACAATATACTATTAAAGGGTTAGTTCACCCAAAAATGAAAATTCTGTCAGTATTTACTCACCCTCATGTTGTTCCAACCCCGTAAGACCTTCGTTCATCTTCGGAACACAAATTAAGATATTTAGGATATTAAGATCGCTCCTGCATACAGTCCATAGGCTTCTTGAGGGACTGGCTCCTGCTGTCCTCGAAAAGTAATTGAAGACATCGTTAAAATAGTCCAAGTGACTACAGGGGCTCAATCTTAAGTTTCTCAAACGACGAGAACACTTTTGTGCGCAAAAAAACAACAAAAATAACGACTTTATTTCAACTATTCACTTCCTTCTCCATAAGCCTATAGTCCGTTAACGTAGTGTGATTGCGTAAAGCTACGTCACACGTAGGCTCACTATTGGCCGACGCTGGTCATGTGTGTGATGCGTGTGACGTACAATAACAGAAGCTTACACTATTAAACTAGTTACCTGACTCGCGCAGAGGGAGAAATAAACGAATAGTTGAAATAAAGTCGTTATTTTTGTTGTTTTTTTGCGCACAAAAGTGTTCTCGTCGTTTGATAAACTTAAGATTGAGCCCCTGTAGTCACTTGGACTATTTTAACGATGTCTTTTATGACTTTTCGGGGACGGCAAGAGCCAGTCCCTCAAGAAGCCTATGGACTGTATGCAGGAGCGATCTTAATATCTAAATATCTTAATTTGTGTTCCGAAGATGAACGAAGGTCTTACGGGGTTGGAACAACATGAGGGTGAGTAAATACTGACAGAATTTTCATTTTTGGGTGAACTAACCCTTTAAATTGGTTTAGGGTAAGTTGTAAAGTAAAGCCATTTGTTCTTCCTTACTATCTTCTTTTCCTTTCATAGTAATTCTTAAATTAAGATGCATTTACTGGAGAAGAAAAATGACAGAAAATATTTTGTTTGAAAAATCTAAATGAAGTGAGTTTGTGTTTATAACCAGAACATAGGGTTGTTTCACAAAAGCACAATTTAGAAATCCAGGAAAAGAGATAAAGCTGGGCTTGACCTAGTGTGATCAGTGCATCCTGGCTTTATCAGTTTCACAAAGGCCAAACCAGGCTCAGGAGGAGCGGCTATGTCAAGCCAGGTGTAAGTAATTCAGATAAGTGGGTGTCAACAGCTTCCTTCAAGAGACCACACAGTCCATCACAGATTCATTGATGCTACAATGGATAAGCATGCGCCATACTTCCAGTGTTGGGTGTAACTAATTGCTAAGTAATTAGTTATTGTAATTTAATTACTTTTCCCTTGAAAATGTAAAGTAAGGGATTACTCTTTAATTTATCTGTAATTTAATTACAGTTACTTCTGATGTAATTGAGGTATACGGTGTATAGATCTATCCAATTTCACAGCGATTCGTATGCATTTTATGAGGTGTCTAAATCATACGATCGCACTTGTACAAATTCGTATGAATTATTGTAAAATATATATGACAAAAGTGTGAAATGTCATGAGATCAGACATAAAACATCAAAATGTATTGTCTGATGCTAAAAAGTATGTTTTTGTAATGTAACCTTCTCCACCTTAGTCTGTTTAAGGATAATTCATGCAATTTTATAGTATTTATTTGAAAGAATTAAAACAGATTCATGTCTATCCTTGTATTATTCAGCTGGTTGAGATTGATATGGGATTTTCAAAGTAATTAGTAATTAAATGCTTTTTTAGATTAGTACAGTAATCTACTTACACTGTTGAAGAGGTAATTAGTAACTAGTAATTAATTACTTTTTAAGAGTAACTTACCCAACACTGCATACTTCACACCAAATGAGCAACATCTTTTAATGTAGACTTACAAGGAATTGAAGGACATCATACTCAGAAAAGGAAAGACTGCCGCTATTATAAAGGAGCGAGAAAGGGCATGGCAAACAATAGCGGATCGACTGAATACGCTACTGAAAACTTCATAATTATACATTCAAGGAGTTACTTGTCATTTGCTCAAATGAACAACTGTAAACTTAAAAATGAACAGTGGAAGTCAATGTTGTAACATGTGTGAATCTGACAGCTGATTAATTTGTTACACTATCAATATTTATACTGAACAAACATGACTGGACCAAAGAGGACCTGGCAACAAGTTAAGATCGAATATGAGAACATTTTGCAGACTGGTAAGTGTCTGATAAAATTTTGGGACCCAACAGTCTGCACAGGTAGTGGATGCCATCCCCAGAAAAGCAGTAGGCTAACGCTCTTGCAGGTAATTGTCGGGAAAAGCCAATGGGTCGGACCTGTCCCGAAACACTCTTTCACGTCTGAAAGGCCTTCTCAATATAAGTGCTTCATCATCTATGATGTCATCCAAAAATGGCCATGCCATTGTAAAGGACGAAACATCTGTTTAGAGCTACTTATATCGCCTGACTTGATTGATAAAACTTTTGCTTCTTTATCAGCCATTTCTCTAATTCACTCATCACATGCAATAGCCTATTAAAGACCTATCTGTCAAACCTAGAACAGCTGTCTTCAAAAACACAATTTAACAGTAACAATGCCCATATGAATAATTATTATTATAGTTAATAATGGTATGCTACCATCATAATGTTACAATAATAATGGTAGGCTACTTGACCGAATGCCTGAGGTATTTTAATGCAGGCTGATAAAAAATTGCGCCGAACACATATGACAAAATGGAATAACTGACAAAACACATTGGTTTCTGATGACTGACTGCTGACTGGGGTGACTGCTGACTGAATAGATAAGGCACCAGGATTGACTAAGCCTGGCTGTTAGCCTGGTCTGGAGCAGGATAGCTGCACAGAATAAATCGCCATGGTAACTTATGTGCTACTGCTTTCTGAAACCGAGTCCCGGCTTAATTCAACCAGGATATCTGGAAAATCCCGACTTAATCCGCTATCTTGGTTTTGTGAAACAGCCCTCATATCTGTCAGAGTTAATTCAAAGAGAAAACAAGATTATTTTTCTGATTCCACTGACAGATATTTGTTCTTGTTTTAACGTCACCCTGTGGTGAAGATCTAGCTTGTTATTTGTGTATGTGGTGTTTTTAATCTGCTTTAAGACACACCATGTGTAAGTTCATAAGTTGACAGCATTGCTGTAGTATTGCCTCCTTAAAACTGCAGTTAACCAAAGACAGTCTCAAAAACATGGTTTGAAATCGCTGGTGTTTCTGACGTCACAAACGACCGTATTACGGTGTACATTTTAGGACATCCTCAGACCTCAGACAGACATATGAAGACAAGGCATCATGCCTCAGACTAAAAGGCTTCAGTTATTGGACAAAACAGCATCACGCCTCAGACTGAAAAGCTTTAGATCTCAGGAAAAACAATGTCAGGTGTCAGGTCTCGTACAATTAAGCATCAGACAAAAAGGCATCAGACAAAATGACAAAACAGCCTCAGACAAAAAGGCATCAGGCAAAATAGCCTCAGACTAAAAGTCATCAGGCGAAACGGACTCAGATGGAGTTTGGAGGTTCGCATTGCCCCGCCCCTTGTGACGTCACGTGTTGTACCTTGAGCTGAGAATGAAATGGGCTCTATGCACGGCGTTATTTCCGGTGAAGGATTAAGGATGCTTGATAACTTCCGCCGATCGTAGAGTCCAATGCAATACCGAGAATTTATATTAAATTTTATACTCCATGGTTATACTAATGAAACGTTAGTCACAAAAACAGATAAAACAGACACCCCTCGTTGTGTTTATGCTTCTTTTTAAAATTATATTAAATAAACATAACTATATATAAAATTACATCTAAACGTATGTACGTTTCGTTTCAAAGACGGGAGGACAGTAAATATTGAAGACTCTGCCATAATCCCGTTTTCTCGGTTTTCCTCCGCTTTAATCTACACAACCGGAAATGGACGAGCGGCCTTACGTCAAATGCGGAACTTATGCGTGCATATAGCCCATTAGCTTGTCTTTGAAGAAGCAGAATCTCCTTAGTTTTAGCGCTTTGGTTCATAGCACTCTTTCTCTAAAGTGCCTTACCTTTATGTCAAGTCAAGTCACCTTTATTTATGTATTACTTTTTACAATACAGATTGTATCAAAGCAGCTTCACATTGGTAACATGAAAATAATACAACAAAGTTTCTTTCTAGAAGAAAATAAATAAAATATTGAGATGAAAGCCTCAATAAAGTCTATCACCTTAT